GCGACACATCGTCACGCCAACAGCCGGTGTTGCCCACCGCATTAGATGTTTCACATCAAAAAGAAACAACCAAATAAAAACTACAACTACCTACATAGTTTTATCCCATAAAAATAATTAATACATAAATTAGAACATTTCCGTAGAAACAAAACCATTTTTAATTGTAAAAACTTTTTTTATTTTGGAACATAGAAAATCAACCTTTTTATTGTTATCAAAAAATACGCGTATGCTTAATTAACTACACTTAATTCATAAGTAAATTTAAGACGTAAACACTAGTCCTTTATTATCTGTACACTAAAAAAGAAAGCATAGAATAAATTTAAGCGATATAAAGTAGCTTCACACACACAGTATCATACAATTTTACATAGATTTTATAAAATTATACACAAAAAAAATGTTCAATTTGTACGTCGTTAGGAAATTGTAAAAAGGGTTAAATTATAATGTCACTAGTGAAATAAAAATTTCCCGGATTTTTATCAATCGTCTGCTTTTCTTACAATATCACGGGATAATTTTAGGTATATTATAATTTCAATAAGCAAATTCAGTGCCATTGTAAAAAGCCTAACAAATTGTCAATATGAGCAATACGAGGATATGGTGTGACGACTCGGTGCGTTTCGATTGGTCGATGCAGTGATCGGACATTTTTAAAACCAAAAAAAACTAAACATTGAAGCAAGCTCGTAAATACATTTGTTTATTTAATTTTATCGTAAATATATTTGTAAAGTGTCCAGGCATTAATTGTTTTATAGGCTGTAGGTATGAGATAGTAGGGTAGAATTAAATGTTCAATAGTATAATTTTACTAGTAAAATTATAATTTAACGGTTTTTACAATTTACCTGCGACATATACACGTAAACTAATAATTGTAATAGATAATATGCACAGGTTAAAGTAGCCGATTTGAAATGTACATTTTGTGAAAAGAAATCGCTTTTACGCTTCATTTGTTTTCAATATCATTTTTATAGCACTTCTATGGGCTTTTTTACTCTATGAATATTATCTGACTTTAATCATATTATTTCTCAATATATAATACAACGTAAGTCATTCACATATAATACGAAAATGCCAAAAAAATAATAACAATAAGGTTGTACAAACAGAGATGGTACAGTTTTGTCTTACGCAGTAATAAGCGACAAATTCAATAATAAAAACGTATACGTTATCGACAAAAGTATCTTACTTTCTTTTAATAAATTATTTCATCTATATTCAATTATTCAGTCATTCGGATACTTTATATAAATTCTAAATTTTAATATAACACGTACGTCCAACATTATACTTTCTTAGATTTACGCGAATATTTGACAATTTAAATAAAACTATCTTTTTGTATTTTTTTGCAAATTTATTTTGATTTTTGTTTCCCGACGTTTCGAATGCTTTACAGCAATCATGGCCGCGAGAGAGACTAAGGTTTTAGACGTCTCAAAGACTTTATATACATTTTACAGACAGCCTACAAAGTTACAAAATTAATACAAAAATGGTACCAATATACCTTACAATATTTGTTAATTTTAATCGTAAACATTTATATAATTTTAATATATAAATGTTATTATTAAATAAGGAAGTATTATTTATTTAATTTCAGCTTTATTTATTATTCTATTTATTATAATTATTACATTTTTTAAGAAAACTTTATTAATTAGTAATCAGTGTTAATATTATTATATTTATAAACAAAGAAAATAAAATATTAATTATTCAAGCCGTTTGTTATTGTTCTACGTGTAATTTATAAAGTTAAAAAAGTTAAGGATAATAATTTTAATTTAATTGGCTATTATTTTAAATCAAAATATTAGGCAACACTATTGTTACATTTATAAATAAAAATTATAAATTTGAAATACTGCTGTTTTAAACCATACGGTAAGAACTTACTACACGATTGCTGTAAAGCATTCTAAACGTCAGGAAACAAAAATCAAAATAAATCCGCGAAAAAAACCAAAAAGATAATTTTATTTACAACGTCCAACATTATTAATATTTAATAGTAAAGAGTTAGAAGATGAAAAAAAAATCATTAAATATGGCAATTTTAGAATTCAATTTTAAATCGTTTTTAAACAATTTACAAAAAAAAGGATATTAACAAATTTTTTATAGGAATTTCGCTTACATTTCTGACTAAAGTATAATATTACTCGTTAGTTAGTTTCAAATCATACTATTTAGTACGAATGAACAATTTAATATGTAAATATACACATAAGAATATCTTAATTTTTTTTTATTTAGTGCTCATATTTAGGTCTAGGTATGTAAAAACTTTTTACTCCTCCAGGATAATTTCTAAGAAATTAATTGTTGACTGACACACCGGTGTGTTCGCGATCCTCAACAAAATAATTATATGTAGAAATGACGTTATCTGGCTGAGAAATGTAAAAAAGTCGAATTCAAATCAGCTATGATATATATAATCATATTTTTTATATACAGTTAGTAACGTTTGCACGTTATCGATCAGTTATAAAATACCATAAAATATCCAATTCGCTAACGAGCATCGAACATTTCAATAGGCAAATCACCAAGCGGCAAAAATATGACGTTACCGTTTGAATCATAAAAATCGATAAATAAATTTATTTCCTTAAAAGACATGAATTTGTCCCAAAATTTACGCCAAAAAAAATATGATGCCCAAATTTAAAAAAAATGCTACAAACGACGGCATATTACAATATAAACGTCTTATATTTAAAGCTATATAATAGGAAATTTGAAGTTTATCACATATATAATATCATTCCGTGTATAAGCAATAGTAGTTATAAAATAAGTCACATCCATTGTTTTATTTGCAGCAAAAGACACTTGAATTGTTAAATTGCTCTCGTAGTAACTTAGATAACATACAATATTGAATACTGAATGAATGAAATGAATTACTTCTATATTTTCTATGAACAACACTATTATTGGATAATTCCTATATTTATTAGAGCTTTATCGGTTAAAAGATCATTTTTTCATATATAAATTGATCATGGGAAATGGGACTCTATGGGAAATCACCATTTCCATTTATCCACTAATTTATTTATCAACCATAGATTTTTTTGGAATCATTTTAAAACTTTATTCAATATTGAATGATTAATACATAATAGGGAATATGCGAATAATATAAATATTTTTTTATTATCTTTATTGCTTTTGAATTAAGCCTATTATATATATTTTTTAATGTATTTAGTTTTTGATTAGGAAAATAATTATTAAACAGTGCAAATATAAGTGGGAAATTCGTAGTTGAAACGAACGCCATTGGTCAGACCGAAAATTACGTCAGAGTATATCCTAAGAGAGCGATTAGCGATTTTATTGCTTAAGCAAAAATTGACATTTTTCGTCACGCCAAGCGCGCTAAATGGCGGGCGTTTAAAGTATCGGTATGATATAAAAAAAAATTATACAAAATTTTCGTTTTTTGGAACTAGATATTTTTTCACAGTTATACAACGATGTAGGATATTGTATAAAAAAAATAAGAAAAATCACGCATATTCCCTATTGTTAAGAGACAAAAATAAGTATGAGAGCATTAAACATTAAGAACGTCAGCTTTAGTTTTTTAATTCTAACAAACGAAAAAGTACATATATAATACAAACAGTAAATTTATAATTGTATATAAATTATATACCAAAATGTTACATATTAGATACATCTGTACATTATATAATAATTACACTAGGGAACTTAAACACGTGAATTTGTTACTGAGTTGCACCAGCCGTGGTCACGGACAGACTGAACAGCGTTTAAGTCCCGTAGTGTAATCTATACATATAATAAAATTGTAATTAAGCCGAATCTGCACATTAAATATTTTTTTGGAAAATCTTATTGAAATAAACATTATTATCGATACAGAGGCCGAATCTATAGTTTTTAGAATTTTTGTCTGTCTGTCGGTCTGTTACCGCATCACAGAAAAACCACTGAAGGGTTTTTGATGAAATTGGGTATGGTGATAGCTGGTTATCCGGCTCAACATATAGGATACTTTTTACTTTGTAAGAGTATACTAATTGTAAAACTTATGAATTTGGTTTTTGGTCATCTCAACGCGGGCGGAGCCGCGAGATATGCTAGTTATTATATAATTATGGAACGTGAAAATTTAAACAGTTATATCTGTACATTATTTGTAATAAATAATCATATCAAATCATCTGTAAACAGTAAAAAAGATAGTATTGCTTGCCATATAAAAAAAATGTTTCTTATATCTGAAAAAGACCATTAATTAATCTTTTTATTTCGTTATATTTCCTTGCTATCGACACCTGATAGGAACATTATTGCAACACCATGTATTGAAATATTTTAACCTAAAAATCTATACTAATATTATAAAGAGAAAAAAAAGTCTTTTCTTTTGTATGTTTATTTGTAATGGATAAACCAAAAATCCGCTGAACCGATTTAGATGAAATTTGTTATGAAGATAGTCTGAGACCCGGAGAAGGACATATGATAGTTTTTATGCCGGAAATTATCCCTTAAGGCGTTGAAAAGGGGGATGAAATTTGTATGGAGAATATATATAAATAGACTATATATACAGTCTATTTACTCAATACTAACCGTAAAACCTAGGGACGAACGCGAGCGAAGCGAGGATGAACCGCTAGTATCTCATATATTTGGGTGTCTTTTTACTATTTTTTTTCTTATATTTGTTCAATATAACTCTATTTAGATGAGTTCTTATTTTTTTGGGAAAAATTAAATTAAATACTAATAAAAAACAAAGGACTAATATATATCTAGTTCATATTTATTCCATATAACATCACAGTATGTTGACCTGAAGATCACTTAGCGACCTTTAGTAAATACAACGTAGGCAACATGAGAAAAAAATATTATTTTTGAATTAAATAAAACAAAAGTGCGTACATACATATTAGTTGTATACATAATGTAAGAATTTAGAGCGGTATATATTCTCTAATCTGCTGCAGAGTTGCCTTGTCGGTGGACTGTAAGAGTCGCTCGTACGTTTCTTGTCCCACTTGACTTTTAAGTGTTTCTAGCTGAAATGTCAAAAATTACCATTAATTAATCTTTAAATTAAATAGGTAATATATAGTTATCGAATTTTACTCTTTTTTTATATTTTTCAGATTTAAATTAGCAATATTTTTATAATATAATTAGTTATACTTTGGTTAATATATAAGTAATAAATAAATAAAACAAATATGTTGGGACAGAACACAGCACCATCTAGTTCCATGGTAAGCTACAAGACTGGACACCAGGTTACACTGAACCTCCTAGTAGAAGTATTGGCTTTTCAAACCGGTGAGTTCCACATAACCACCTGTATGTTTACAGGTGTATACATAAATATCTAGTATTGCAATACAAACATTCGTTCGTGCTTATCGGCATAGCAAATAGGGTCACTACAAACTGAGCCAAACGTGTCGTGAAATTGTTTTGTATTCACGTTTCTATCAGTTCAAAGCATATTAAAGAATCCGTGTGACGTGTGGCCGGTGCGCCCCACGGCGACAGCGTACCTGGTGGTGCGTGACGGCGCGCAGGTCGAGCGCGCGCGCGGGGTGCGCGGCGGCGGCGCGGCGCCGGCGCTGCTCGTGCGCGCTCGCCGCCTCCTCGCCCGCGCCCGCCACGCCGCCCCCCGCGCCGCCCCAGCGCGCCGCGCCGCCGCGCCCCTCCAGCGGCGACGCCGGCCGCGACCCCGGCGGCGACACCAGCGCACTGCACGCGACACACACACATACAGTACACACACAGCACACTGTTATAGAGCTTTCTTAATTTAAATACTTCGCTTGTTAAATCAGTGAAACACGAATTATTTTAATAATTAACTTTAATGTACAGAGCATTGATTAAATTCTGTCCACAGACTATCTTATGTCTAAGTACACAGATAACTTATTGTTATACTAGTACCTAAGTTAAGTAACCACAATTCAATGCAAATTTAGTTAGTAACCACAGAGTATATAGCGGAATGTATGTAACAGGATTCATCCCTAGACAAAAACAAATCTATGCCACGAGAACCGCACATTTTTCAGGATAAAGTCACCTATGCGCTATTCCAGACTATATCTCTACACCAAATTTCATCCAGATCCGTTCAGCCGTTCTGGCATGAAAGAGTAACAAATATCCATCTATCCATCCATCCTCACAAACTTTCACATTTATAATATTAGTATGAATTAATAGGGTAATACTCGTAGTATCGTCATACAAAAATTACATTTAAACAAAATTCTAAATGGCCACTTATACTAGAATATTCGATTACATAGTTTAATTACAAGTCAAACTAAAAACAAACGTTTTAATAATAGTACTTACTCAACATAATTTCCAGATTCTTCCATTTTCATGACGTCATTGAGCACCTCGGTGAGGTTCAGCAATATGGCGGGGAAGCGCTCGAGGACTGTGGCATTTTGTGTCGTTAGAAGCACAGCTAATCCAAGACCTATTAAAGTTAAATAATACTAATATTTTTTTGCTATTTTCCATTCAACGGTTTAGGTTTAATTCGAATATATTCCTTATAAAACAACATTTTTAAAGTAGTAATTTAATATATATGTAATAATATAATAATGTAATATTATATTTATTTTAAGAAGACTAACGTTTGACAGATAAATTCTCTCAATTATTAAATCAACTACGTTATAATAAAATATAATTCAGTCATTTTAACACCCCACCGCTGTGTATGGGCATGGCATTCGAAACGTCGAAAAACCAAAAATTAAAATAAAACTACGACAAAATGCAAAATCTACTTTTATTTAAAATGTTAAATTTTCAAAAAGAATAAAATACTTATAAAATTTTGCGAAATGCGATAAACTGTTTGTATGTACGTAATAAATATATTTTATCGTAAATATTTCAATTGAACTCTATCAACTTGAAATATTATAATATAAATTATGATGAATGTATAACAAACGTGTACCAAAAAGCGAAAGGAACTTCGTCCCGCCTAGGGGTCTATAGACCCCTCATTTATTTTATTTACTTAAGACCTCCTCCAAGTCTCTCCCGTGACTATGATTGCTGTAAAGCATTCAAAACGTCGGAAACCAAAAATCAAAACAAATTCGCGAAAAAAACCGAAAAGGCAGTTTTATTCAAATGTCAAATATTCGCGTAAATCTAAGAAAGTATTATAATTAACAATTAAACTCACCAACAACCTTCCACCTCTCAACCTGAGTGACCAAGTTCATCCTCTCAGTCCATACATGGAGGACTCTACTGAGGACCTTGGCGGGGTCCGAGTCGTACTCCGCGAGTCCCGCCGAGGCCTCCTGTATCGCTTTGTAGAAGAGGTCGGAAGATAGGAGGATAACGCGGGATAAGAGGCAAAGCTGCACCGCGAGGACCATGGGGAGATCGTCACCTTCTAGGAGACAGCTGAAAAAGTATGGATATTAGTTATCTTTTCCTATCAATTACTAAAATATATAAATTAACAATATTCTATGGCATACAAAAAAAGAGTTTGTATATGCAAAAATTCATTCTCCTATTAGTCCTACAAACGTGTGGGGTTTAGGATCTTTTGGCAGCCTAAAATGCCTGCTTTGTATAAGGGAAGCTTGAATTACACATTCTCTTATTTATTGATTAAATGAATATTATATTATTGCACTTATATACATGTAAGTGTTGGGAATTCAAATAAAAGAACTTGATAACACATCGACTATTTATTGTATACAGCCCTTTTTAACATCCCACTGCTGGGCACGGGCCTCCCTTCAATACGAGGGGGATCAGGCCATAGTCCACCACGCTGGCCAAGTGCGGGCGGACTTCACATGTCTTTTGAAAACTTGCTAGGTTCTCTCAGACATGCGGGTTTCCTCACGATGTTTTCCTTCACCGTTAAGACCAGTGATAATCATGTTAGAAATGATTCGCACATGAAAATATCAGAGGTGCAAGACCCGGGATTTGAACTCGCTTCACTCGGTTTCCCAAGCGAGCGCGTTACCTTGGCGCGTTGGCTACCACTGCCTCTACTATTTATTATATATAAAAAAACTGACTATTTATTATATAAAAAAAAATACGTTTACGCGTATCGTCTTGTCGCCATTATGACAAATCATCCTTTCTTTCTATTTTCAAAATGGTATCATTCTCCTTCTTCGTCTCCTTCTTACGCAAACTTAACTCGCGAATCCCACATATGTACATATCTATACATATAATAAAATTCTATGTCGAATCTGTTTATTAAATATTTTTTGGAAAATCTTGTCGAGCGATATATAGGTTAAATCTATAGTTTTTAGAATTTTTATCTGTCTGTCTGAAAACGCATAACGAGAAAACCACTAGACAGATTTTGATGAAATTTCGTATGATGAAAGCTGATTATCCGGGTCAACAGATACGATACTTTTTACTGCGGGAAAATATATCATCTCAGAGAAATCTATACTACACGTTAAAACGTACCTCTAGTACACTATATGTTGCTATTTTTTCAAGTCATATAAGAAAAAAACATTTTGTTTAAATACTCACTGAATAACCCTAATCAAGGTCGGCCATATAACTTTGACACCCAAAAAAGCGTTCCTCTCCGGAAAGCTTACACTGATACATATCTCGGCCATCTTGAGAACGGTGATGACGCCCTCCGTGCGCATATCGCTGAGCATGTCGTCCAACGTCGCCATACACTTGGCGCCCGCGCCCGTGAAGAACTCCTCGGGGCAGAGCAGTGCGTACGCTTGCATTATATACACTACTATACGGATGTGCTCTGTGGATTGTTCTGCAAGGGAAATACGTAGTAATATTATAATTATGTAATTGTGTTTGTTTGTCCTTCTTTCACATCGAAACATGTGTGGAGATAGTTGGAGAGCTTTAGAGTGACATACTTTACAAGCTACTTTTTTACCATAGAAGATTATCTCGTACCTACGGGATAACAAGTTATAATAAAACCCACAATAGCTCATTATACCTATGTATGTATATAATATTTATGTACAGTCTTTCTAATAATATAATAATGTAATATTATATTTATTTTAAGAAGACTAACGTTTGTCAGATAAATTCTCTTAATTATTAAATCAACTACGTTATAATAAAATATAATTCAGTCCTTTTAACGCCCCACCGCTGTTCATGGGCATGGCATTCGAAACGTCGGAAACCAAAAATTAAAATAAAACTACGACAAAATGCAATATCTACTTTTATTTAAAATGTTAAATATTCAAAAAGAATAAAATACTTATAAAATTTTGCGAAATGCGATAAACTGTTTGTATGTACGTCTATGTATATTTGTGACTATTTCACGGTGAAACGGCTGGACCGTTTTGATAAAATCTAGTACACAGATAAACTATGACCTTGAATGAAGAAATGAAATTGAATGAAAAAAGCTACTATTAAGCACCACTCTATCTGGAAGAGAAAGTACGTCACTAGTCTTGATATAAGATCTATTGATTACACCTTTTATATTTAATACACATACATACTTACAAACTTGGGCATTAGATTATTATAACAAAAACAATATCCGTCCTTACCCAATATAGGAGATAGATTGTGCGCGAGCTGCAACAAAGCGGGGTCGGCCGCGGGCGACGTCTCCAGCACGGCGAGCCACAGCTCCAGCGCGTCCTCCAGCAAGTACACGTGCGCCGGCTCCGACAGCTTGGTCGACTCGTTGATCACGTTCAGCACCCACGGGCGCACGTTGGGGGCGCACTCGCCTAGTGCCTGCGTGGGATCATAGATGGCGTTGCATGTACTTGTCAAGGAACGGGTTCATACAAATGTCAATAGATGGTGTTATATTTTCGGCGCATTCACCTAATGTCTGGTTGAGGCCCCGATAGATGACGTTGTGTGTACTTGTTAGGGATAAGTTCATATAAATGTCAATAGATGGCGTTATATTTTCGGCGCACGCACCTAATGCCTGCGTGGGATCGATAGATGGCGTTGTATGTACTTGCTAGGGATGGGGTTCACATAAATGTCACCTAAAGCCTGGTTGAGACGATAGATGGAGTATGTGTTTGTTAGGAATGGGGTTATATTTTCGGCATATGTATGGGGAATCGATAATTTCTCAAGTAAGGATTTTTAAGCACTTATCTACTTTTCTAATCTATGTATTTATAGTATATCTATTACATACCAACCATTAAACCTTAAGCGAGGGTGAATCGCTAGTAATATATAACTTATATAGACAAAGATCGTAAAGAGACGTTAAATGACGAGATGTATACTAGGACAGCATATTACAAAATATTATGAAACTAGCGACTCGCTTCGCTTGGGTTCGTCTTTAGATATGTTTTAAATTAAAATGGATATAGTATGTTATCCTTAAGAGGTAGAAATATGCCATCGTGGACTTTTCTGTAGACCTATATAAGGTACACAATTCCACCATACATTATTTTGTTATATTTCAAAGGTTTAGGCAGCGTTTTCGTTGAAAGCTCCTAGACGGCTTATTTTTTTCGACACCTCCAACAAATATCGTTATATTAAAACCGCAACCGCAATCCATTGCGTAGTTTGAACGATCTGAGAATACATAGAGAAAGAGAGACAGCGGTAAGCGATTTTGTTTATGTAGTGATGTGTACAATTCGTTGGCTTACTATTACAAGGTTCTATGTTACAATTTTAGCACTTATTTAGTTATACCTAGTAGCATTAGCTACTAGGTTCTATGTGTCATTAGCTACAGTTTTGCAAAAACAAACCACTAGATAGCGGCACTATAACTACATAATATTCAATTTTACATAGTTCTATGTTGGTTTTTTTTACGATAACAAAATAACGAAGTTCTATGTAAAAATTACTAAACTTCATTAAAATTAACATAGAACCTCGTAATAGTGAGCCAACGAATTATGATGGAGAATCGTCAATAAGGTTGACGCGGCGACGTATGTGTGTATGTGTCGTGTACCAGGACAGCATGACCCACCTTGACGAGGTGCACGAGCGCGGCGAGCGCGGCGGCGCGCAGCATGTGGTGGTGCTGCGCGTGCGTGCAGAGCGCGGGCAGCGCGGCGAAGAGCGCGCCGGCGCCGCCGCGCACCGCCCAGCCGCAGCGCTCCGTCACGTACGAGATCACGTGCAGCACGTGCATCTTCGTCTCGCACTCGCTGCACTCCACCTGCACGGCATCGCCGAAGTGTAATATTTAATGTCTTCATTTATTTAATATACCTAATTCATTTTTAAAGTTAAAAATTTTATTGAACTTAAAGTCCATTTAATTTGTACAAAATATTTATGTATTAAATATTTATTACGGCATCGCGCCGCGTGCAAAGTCGATTTGGAGTTTCATTACGGGGTATTTATATTCATAAAACATTTTTGAATGTAACCTTTTCCAGTTTTTATAAATTAGTTAACATAGTGATTGATGCAATTCAAAACAATCGAATTCCGAACCATGTCCTAGAATCGTCTTTGACTGAATCTAAAAAAGTTATTGAATTAACTTCAAAAGAATTCTTTCAATTAGTATTGGCACATAATAAGGAGCGTATCTTTGCCATAAAATATATACATACTTATCTATACAAATAAATAAAAATTGAAGTGTCTGTTTGTATTTTTAAAATAACACCTTTTTACTAAATTCATATGAAATTATATACAGTGTACTTATAAGAAAAAACAATTTTCAACATTTTTGTCTGTCTGTCTGTTTGTTCGTTCCGGCTAATTTCCGAAACTGATTTTAATGGAACTTTCACTGGCAGAGAGCTGATGTTATAAAGAGTAAGTTAGGTTACCTTTATTTTAAGAAAACAATTAGGATTCCACTGAAAAAAAATTGCATGTACTTAGACACACGAGCGGAGCGAGGATAATTAATCAGTGGTAATAATTATTTGAACATAAAAACTCACTCACCAACAGATCGTAAAGAGCCGACAATGCGTGAGGGGCGAAGGGGGCAAACTGTTCCACATCGAAGTTGAAGTCGTCTATGGTGCTGCGGAGCGCCTCGGCCGCCGCCAGCTTGACGGCGGGGTCCTCCCCGGCGCGCGCGAGCGGCTCCAGCAGCGCCGCGTACATCGCCGGCCGCAGCGCCTGGGAAGCGCGCACCCCGCACCATTGCCCTGCAATGGTGTTGATACATTCATCATTTAATTAAATTTACATTAATATCACTAGCGACTCGCTTCGCACAGATGCGTCCCTAACTTGCTTCCCAATACAAGCTTTAATCCCCATTTTCACCCCCTTAAGGGATGATTTCCGGGATAAAAAGTATCTTATGTCCTTCCCAGGGTCTCAAACTATCTTCTTACCAAATTTCAACTAAATCGGTTCAATAACATAAATTTACAGAAAACTTCATCACTAAAGATGAAGAAAAACTACTTCATAGTTAAAAAGTTCGAATATTTATTTCGTTCATTAAAAATCCACATTTTTTTGTATATTTTTTTTTTAATTTTCAAGTTCATGAGCTTTTATTAAAAATCAAACTTACCAATAAGCTGACATACTCTTCTTCTAATAATTCTATAGTTGTCGTCTTTTATTTTAAGTTCTTGGCTTAACACATTTGTGAACCATTCGTCAAAATCAACCTGTAAAATAAAAATAATAATGTATTCACAACAACACATTAGTATGATCCATTTTTTTATGGCACAACTCAAAAATATTAAAATAAAAAAGTCGATTCTTCTTGTTTAAGCTCTCCAAGAAGAAAAAAGAAAAACAAACATAGGTCAAAACGAAGCCAAAACCTTGTGTAAAATTAAAAAATATAATATATTTTAAGGATATCTTATTTATAATTTAAATTTTATACTCAGTAAGCGCTTCAAAGAATACTTTTTACCTATCAAGAAAGTTTATTCTTCTAAGTGCTTCAATATTCAATACTTCAATCTTCAATATCAAGAATCTCCAATATTTAAAAATTTTGTTCTTCTTTTCTCTATTTATTTTTAAAAACACTGACACAAAACATTTCAAAACACTAAAAACTCTCATAAGGTAACAAACATCATCGCATTGTCTTTTGTATCTACACGGTTGATGTAGACTAAATCAATTGTATTGGTTATTCAAGGCTCACAAAGGTCACAAGTCCCACGGGACGACTGTTTAAACCATATTTCAACGTTTACCCCAATCCCGTACCAACCAACATCATACATACACCAGTCTACCAAAACTAAAATTCCAACAACTTACATCATCATACAAATCAAACCCGGCGAGTCTAACGGCATTGTAGATGGCGTCCTTCTTCAATATGGCCGGCAGGTCGCCCGGCGACACGTGGCTCTCCTGCAGCGACGCCAGCAGCCGCACCAGCTCCGGCGCCAGGACTGCTCGGAACTCGTGGAACAGTTCCATGAACACTGCTTCTGTACAGGGCTGGAAGGAATGAGTTATTGTTATAGCATTTTATGTATTAGTAGTGGCGTAATGGTACCAGTTGCTGTGACACCCCTATAAATATTAAAAAAAGTATTAAAAAAATGTAAAAAAAAAGTACCCTTAGTTACTCCTTACAAGAGCAGCTATCTGCCAGTGAAAGTCCCGTCAAAATCAGTCCGTTTCGGAGATTAGCCGCAAAAAACAGACAAACAGTCAATAATTTTAAAAATTGTTTTTTTTTATAATTACCGTATATAATTAGTAAAAAGCAGTTATTTTGACATTACCAACAGACACTTCAAGTTTATTTATCTGTAAGTATATATATCATATTCATACATAAAATAAATTCGTTAAAATATTTACTTTTATTACAATACTAGCATCTCACTCGCTTCGCTCGTGTTTATCCCTAGCTTGCTTCTCCATAGAAACTTTCATTCCCATTCTCACCCCCTTAAGGGATGATTTCCGGGATAAAAACTATTTCACTCACTCACTCACTTTACAATTCACAAGATTTAAAAAAAATCTTATTTTAGTAAAAAAATTCTTTTAGTTTTCTTCTATACTATACAAAACTTGTCCTGACATTAACTAACACAAAAAGAAAAGAATTATCCAATTTGGTGCAGTCGGTCGGAAGTCATGCGCGTACATACATTTCGGTGATTCATTTTTATTTATATAGAAGATTTACTTAGTTACTAAAAATGTATACTTATCATCAACTCACACATCATACAATTTTTTGAATCGATATTTTTAGGAAGAACATAATATGAGACCGACCCTGAGACTGTACTTCCAGGACTCGCCCGCCTCGTCGGTGGCGAAGCTCTCGGGCTCGGCGTCCCACAGCGCGAGGTCGTCGGCGCTGAGCTGGAAGTGGTGCGCCACGAGGTGGCGGCACATGTGGCACGCCGTGTGCCCGTCCAGCACGCTCGCCTTCACGCCGTGCGCCTCCAGCGTCACTGGCACACAATCAAAAAAGATAACGAATTAATATTAGTCCAGCTGAGTTTCTTTCGCCAGTTCTTCTCAGGTCTGAGGCTTCTTCTTTCCGAACTGATAGTAGACTCGTAACGTTCAGTAAATTTTTTTTACATAATAATTTAATGCTGAATAAAATATTTTGAATTTAAATTTGACACAAACATTCCTCGCCTTAGTGCTTATTTGTTCAAACAACCAATACTTAACATACTTTACACTCGATATTTTTTTGTTCTATTTTAAAAACTGTATTAAAATAAAATGTTTAGATATTTAATACCGATAAAACTAAAAATACCGATAAAATTAAAACCGATAAAATTGACATTAAAAGTCAATAATCTGTATTAAAAACCTTTAGGTAAATAGGTCGTTTAAACCACATATATATGTATGTATATGTAAAAAAGTCGTATATATATTAAAATTATATGTATATGTAATAGTTAAAACTTACAAGGCTCTTTGACTGGCTCATTTGCTTTGGGCAGCTTATATTCCACACATTGCAAAATACCCTTCACAATATTCAAGCACTGTATGGTAAATCTTTCGTATGTCAACACCATTCCTTGTTCCGTGAAGCAGTAATACAAAGCGAATTCCAAAGAAGGACGTATCAAGGGCACGTATGAGAAGGGATGGAAACATAACACACCCAATGCCACTTTAGTTAGGTGAATTATGAATTTCTCGCATAATTCCAGCGGATAAATACCACGGCCTTTTAGAAGTTTTCCTGAAAATTAAATTGATAAGTTACATTTAAATTTAATTGAAAGATAAAAAATAAATACAGATAAAATAAAATTTAAATGTCAGCTTTTTATTAAATATATATCAAAGTATATATACAATACCCAAAAAAAATTTTGCCTGTCTGTATGTCTGTTTGTTAAGGCTAACCACCGAAAAGGCTGGGTCGATTTTTACTGAACTTTCACCGGCAAATAGCTGATGTTATAGGGAGTAATTTAAGACTATTATTTTAGAAAGAAAGATTTAGGGTTCTGCTCAAAAAAATTAAAAAGTACCTAGGGACCCACCAGACGCACCAGAGCCAAGCGAGGGTAAGTCGCTAGTATATTACATAATATTGTAATACACATCGTTTCACTAGTAACTATTAGAGAGTTTCACCATCCAACACTTGACTCGATCATAATTAGCTCGAAGTTATCACATTGTTGCACATATTTGTTAATATCGATTTCACATACTTATGAATATTCAATTCAATACAACAATTTGAAAGTAGAATAAAATCAACTTCCAGTATTTAATTTAAGAAAATCCAATTTTATTTCTGCCTTACTGATAACAAGGTAGTAAAAAAAAAATATTTTTAACTAAAAAGATTTTCCACCATTAGAGACCAATTTTTTTCTTGCCGTTCATAAAGTAGTATAAATTATTCAATAAAAGAAATAATTAACATTGATTCACAAATAGCAAAGACAAAGTGTAATATTATAATCAAAACAGACATATACCCGCATTAGCCAGAGTACCTCCTCCTTTTTATAAGTTGGTCAAAACATAGATCATTCAAATAAACAAACATATACATACTGCATTCCAAACTTGTCTTGGCTCTGTCGAACACCACATTCAAGAAAGCAATAGCATCTTGACTCTCATGTGGCTTCTTGAAACCAAACACTGTTAATTTCCTCAATATTCTCAGACAAAGTAAAGCCTTCTCCAGATGCTCCGTGATCAGTTCTGTAGCAGCTCCTTCTTGGATGTGACGTAGGAACACTTCCGTGTTTTCATGCCATAGGTTCAATATGAAGGAGTACACTGATATCGTTAGTTCCTAAAACATAAGTGTTTTTATGCAGTAACATTATCAGAAAATTGGTTACTAATTTTGATTTTAAAACATCAAAATAATAATACTGCTATATTAACGTCCCACTGCCGGGCATAAGTCTCACCTTGCTTTATTAAGCAAAAGCAAAAAAATAAGACTCGCATATGTAAATCTTAGAAGTATGAGACCCAGGGTTTGAACCCTTCCAGGAATCAATTTCTATTTCCAATACAAATACAGATATTACAAGTTTTACATATGTCATTAAAAAATTCACAAAGAAAATAACTCAAAATGATGGGTTTGATACAAAGAATGTTACAGAATTTTATAAAGGTTATTTAAATACACATATTTCTTACTTAATGAGTTAAATAGGTACAAAACAAATATAAAATTAAAACAATATTACTAAGTAATAAACAGTCAAATTATTAACAGATAAAATCACTAAATAAAATGTTCTTACCTGGAATGTCCGCCTATCTTCAAGAAGTCTTTTAGATGCTAAAGCCTTTATAACGTGATGGAAGATCAACAAAGATCGATGTTGGACCAGTGGTTGAGGCGCTTTTAGTGCACTAATTAAGTCTGGCACCAGACTTGGCCAGTTTGTAGGGCAGTCAAATCTATTGACAAAATAAATAATGTGATGATGATGTCCTCCTAGCCGATTCCGGCCACGGCGGCCAATCTCAATGAGATTAGCCAACTGCGCAGGAGATATTATAGTGCTCAAGTGTACGCGCAGACACAAGTGCACTCTCTATTCCTATCACTCTCTTACTCCGGTGGGACGACCACTCGACACGACCGGTGAGAGTTAAGGCGCAGGACGTACGGCTTTACGTGATCTCCGAGGCACGGGGGTGAAACACCGCCAACTTCCCAACTCCAGGCTGTTACTGAAACTTACTATACAGGAAGACTCAATAACTAAACTTGGCGCGACCCGGGACTCGAACCCAGGACCTCCGGGTGTGCAGCCGTACATGCTAGCCACTACACCACCGAGGCAGTTAAAAAAAAAAATAATATTGCACAAACAAGTAGGTAATGTGTTTTACATTGAAAGTGAGGTGGACAAAGACGTACTCTCTATATGAGATTTCCTCCAGCCAACCCATGTATGTGAGAAATAGTATTAAATACAAAATAAAGACAGAAACAGAAAGTGTAGAGAAAAATAGTAAAGTATACAATATACATGTATAAATAAAACTAAAATACATATATAAACATACTAGCAGAACCCGCGGCTTCGCTCGCGCTAAAACTACAAAAAATATCTAAAAATGTAGTTTCATACAAACTTTTATCCAGTATTTTACTCCCTTATAGGATGAATTTTGAAAAATAGCATTTTTAGAGCATAGAGACGTATTTATTTAATATTTTTTTATTTATTTATTTAATTTTATTAAAAAGTATATATACCAAGTTTCAAGTAATTCTGATATTTTTTTTTTTTGGATTGTATTATAAGGTGTTAACCCGTGGGAATTAAGTAATCTCCCGCGATAAAAAGTAGCTATGTCACTCTCCAGGCCTCCAACTATTTCCACACAAAAAATCACGCCAATCCATTATTCCGTTTCGACGTTAAAGAAGGACAAACAAACAAACAAACACAAACAAACAACAAACAACAAACAAACAAACACACTTTCACATTTATAATATTAAGTATGGATACAATACATCATATATATTATATACACAATAATGACATACATATTACGAGTATATAAGCGTAACTACATAAACACAAATACAAGTATAGATAATATTAGAATATTATCAATGAAATTAAATGAGAATCTGATGTCTTTTGTCACATACCATTATTTACTAGTGACGCACCCTCACTTCGCTCGGGTTCGTCCTTAGGTGGCCTATGTGTTCCTCATAGCATATCTGTGTACTAAATTTTAAGCACTAACAAACCCTCATATGTATATAAACACATTTAGAAAGCCGTCTGGACTGTTTTAGGCTACATCAGCCAATCTCACTGAGACTAGCCATCGTAAGAGATATTATAATGCACAAATATACACGCAAATACAAGTGCATTCTTTACTCTTTGGACTCTCAAACTCCGTTGAGACGAAAATACATGGCACGACCCAGGAATCTAAACCAGTCGCCATATAAGCCGATCTGCAGCCGTACATTGTAGCTACTAGACTGTCAGAGCAGTTTACGCATACACTCCACATTCATTATAATGATTTTGTAAAGGTAAGTAAGCTCCGAAAACCCAATATAACATAAACAAGGAAAAATCGCACCAGAACACACGATCTCGGCCAAAAGAAGGGCGACCATGCACGATCATTGATTATTGGCACTGCCGATGTTTCGTATGATTTTTGGCTACACAAACTAGAATTTTTGTTCGAAACTGGCTGAAACGGAAACTGACTCATCAGTTGGTCAGTAATAACCTTACTATGTACTAGTTAGCTCCCAAGGTCCTCCCCCATTTTGTGCCGCCAAAAATTTGCCTTGTACATATTATGTACAAAATACCAATAAGCTTACCTAGCGATTTTTGCAATCAAAACAGCCTGTTGTGTTGCAATTTGTGCGATAGGTTCACTCAATATTGTAGTAGTAAGCAATCCCAGCCTAAGCTTTTGTTTCTCTTCATCAGTTATAGCATTCGGAGCATTACGGCGCCAGTAACGATCTACTCCATTCTTGAAACACATTACTGCTAGCCATCTTACATTTATGTCAATAGAATGGTTTGAAAGAACATTCTGGAAGTAATAACATACTTAATAATATTCCTACCAAATAAACTTTGGTGCTATATTATTAATTCAAATTGTTTTAAAATATTGTAATACAACACTATGTAGTAAAACAATTTGAATAGTCCTGCAGAGTTTACAGGAATGCTTTTCATTTTATTTTTCTTCTAGAAGTGTAGTATTAAAAGTAGTATATGTGGATAAATATTTTTAAATTTAATAATTAATTTTTAAGCATTCAAGTATATTTATTTTAGTTATTTCTTTACCAATAAAACAGAATAGAATCCTGGTTCCACTTCCCATTCTTGCAACTTCTTCTCAGCCGGCTTTAACACTTCTGTATTCTGACTTGTTGCTCTGTTTAGGGTATCTAAAACTAGGGCATAGATGTTCGGATCCATGGCTTATCTGAAGAATATACAAGTACTATAAGCCAATTGAAATGAGTTAAAGCGATATGGGATTTTTTAGGATTTTTATGGCTTAGTCACATTTTCAACAAGGTTACCATTTACTAATGATGGTACCTTTAATATTTTGAGGAAACCTGCATGAGAACCTAATTAGTTTTTGAAAGACATACAGTCTGACAAGCTGCATATAGCATTTGTTGTGGAATATAGTAAAATCACCCTCACATTGAAGGCACATGCTCAGTAGTTGAGTAAAATGTAAAGGACTATTATCTAAAACTACAATAATATTATACATTGTTTTTTACTATAAAACAATATACAGCTCTTAAATTCAATACAAAATTACATTGTAAAGGTACAAGCATAAAGAAGATGATGTGATTAGTTATTTATTTAATAATAATAATTTAATTATTTAGTATTACTTATTTCATTTATATCTTGATGATTATGTATGTATGTACAAACAGTTTGTAATCTAATAGATGTGTTTGGCATTAGTTATTCGTGAATATAGATGGAGAAATATTATAATCACTAAATTATTGTTTTAAAAAAATATTTCATCTTATTATACTTAACCACATAATTTAAAAACACATGAGTGTTGGAGTTTTTACAATCATAGTATTACATAACAAACCAAAATATAATATTTTACTTTACTTCATTATTTTTACGATGATAAAACAAATAGGTATATTTATAGAGCCTTAAACATGTTAAGCCTTTTGTAGTCTTCACTTTGGTGCCGCCGCCGGCTAAGGCCTAGCTTGCAAGAAAAACCCTAAAATTGATCTCTTACACACCATTCAAAATATTAGCAACATTAAATTTGTCTGCAAAGAGTAAATGAAAATAATACTTACTTTAAGACGGCCAAAGGACAGAGGATATATTATAACCTAAACGAATTTTCGTATACCAATCATTACTGTTTTCAACTTTATTTCAATTTCTTATTTTATAAAGTAAAAGACATGAAATATGGGCTTGTTTAGAAAGTATAAAAGACTCAAAAGATCATTTTTAACAGCGAATTTATAGCAAAAACACCAGAAATTCGAATAATTTTTGAGAAATTATGACAGTGACAACTTAAATGTCACTTATGAATTTACGTCAATTAGAGAAGATGCAGAAGAAATTCCAGATTATATAAAGCTTTAAACGTCAATGAGTACCTTTTCGTGGTGCTGGAAGAATATTCCACAAAGATGAATAACAAAAAAATAGCTTCAGCCCATATTTCACAATTTATTCTGTGTCTAATGTTCGTAAATTGCATCTCAGGTAAAACTAACTTGTGTCAAGTAAAGTCTTAAACAAGCGCTTTCGGCTATATAGTGTATGCAAAACAACTAAAAGGAAAAGATTGCTTATAAACTTTAATTTATATTTGTTGTAAAATGGCAAAACATGTTCCACACAGTATTTAATTGCAACCGTGAACCGTATTTATAACGACACTATGAATTTCTCACGTCTCTGCCCTCGTATTTAAAAAAATGTTACTAATTTAATATTCCTTCACTTTTAACAATCGTATTGATAAAGTGATTTCAGGTGGTCTCTATCGTCCCAAAATAGGCTATAAAATGCAAACATTTTTTTTAAATAGTAGAAGATACATGCGCGCGGACAAGCAATAAAAAACCTTCAGATTTTAATATCAGATGTCATTATTTATTAAAGCATTTCTGAATAGAACCTAGAAATTATTATGATTTAGTGGCACTGTTCCTATTGTTACTGGTATATCAGAAAACAATGGTAAATGGAAACGGAAGACAACTTTTACCTGAAAATAATAAAATTAAAAATAACACGTTGCAACTAATTAGAATATCTAAAATTCATAAAATGAACTAACCCTTAAATAATATGAAATGTTGACCATAGGATCTTGAACATTAGTCGTTGAAGGAACTACTTGAGGAATTTCCATCTCAATGCAACAACTTTGTTCTGACAAGCTTAACACGTCAGTAAAATATGAATTACAGATGGTCTTCTCATTAGAACTATATCCTGAAGAAACATTGTAATCAAGTTTCTAAAAATAAAAAAAGTATGTTTGTTAAATTTAAAATATTTAATTTAGACGTTTTCGTAAAGATTCACTACTTACTTACTTGAATTAAGGCTACTTTAAGTTTAGTTACTTTAATTTTTTTTTCGTTCGTTATTATAGCTTCAAATTGTATTATTTGATTCGATGAAAAACCCTTGTATGTTTTAAAATGCATTACAAAGTGACTAGATTTTCCAAATGTTTTAGACATTTCATAAAGCATGGGTATCTAAAAAATAATTTTATCATTTGCTGATGAGTTCTGAAGACATAATTTTATACGATTTTTTGTAAAAAAAATACATATAGGTAACCTTATAATCTTCAAATTGAGTCAAATCTACATGATTAATTACATTAAATACAACGTTTTCTTTCTTGGATAATGCCCAACCACCTTTATTTTGAATTATTATCTTGTAAGATACTTTAGCAACTGAATCTTCGTAAGTTGAGGGTAAATCTGACGGTAAGAAAAAATGAAATTGTCGACTTATTATACCCGGTTTAACAGTAACATCTGAAAGAAAAAACAAGTATGTATTTGTAAAATTCATTTTAAAGTTCCTATTAATCAATTAATTCCTATTAATTAATCATACACTTTAATAATTTCTTAGATGGATTTACCTCACTACCAACCTTTTAGATCTCTAAAAACATCGATTAAAACATTAAAAACTTCCCTTTTTTCAGAATAAATTTTTACATAAGGTACTGTTGGAGAAGGCCTCGTCCACATTGCTTTACTGACGCCTTTAACATTAATATTAATTTCTGAAATATTTTAATAAAAAATGGAATTGAATCATGTTACACAAAATTTTGTTTAAGAATAAAAAAATCACTTACGATTTATTTTGCTTTTTTGCTTTACGTTAAGAATGACTGAACCTGTAACGATATCATTAGTGTAAAATACACCATTAGAACCACTAGTAAAAGTAATGTTACATGTGTCCCAGACCATTTTAACTTCCAATAATTTAATTATTTTCTTAATAAGCACTTGTTTTTGTATTATAGCATTAATTCTACATATAAATGTTATTTCAAGCATCATAATCATTATTATCAATGTTTTAGATAACTTTTTGGGTTTTGATAAGATTAAGTAATAAAAATAGTTTTGGTTTCAGCTTAATAAAATAGGTAATATGAAACATATTCATAATTATAACTTAAATTAAATTTTACTCTTAATATGAATGTGGTTAACAAAAAAAATCAAGAAAATAAAAAAATAGTAGTTAAAAATATGAATGGAAAATTACCATTAACTTTTTTTTGTATATGGCAGCATATTAAATTTGCCATCTTGTGTTAAAAAATATAAACTATTCGGAATTGAAATGTTTTTAGCTCTTTTATATTATGTTAGCAGTAATATCTGCATTAGATATAAGTTATTATTAACTAAATATTTATAATTATTATTTTTACATTTTGTTATTAAAATCATCTTGTTGCTGTTATATAATTTAATATAGTGTTTGTGTTGACTATATCCTTCTTCCATGACTTATTTGAGAAAGCGGATGTGGTTGGTCCGCCATAATCATTCGTGTGGGTCTGTGCTTGTGTGGTTTGGGTGTCTTACCGGTGCCAACCATTATTTTTAATTAGTAATAAGTTATGCGTATGAACCCAGACATGGACGATGACGAGAAGGGGTAAGCACAATTTATATAATTTTGATAAACATCAGGGTTTTCCTAAGTGTTGTAACTATAATAGGTCAAACTACATGTTCGCTTGGTGTGTCGCATTTCACGATTAGCCAGCAAGGCTCTTTGGGTAGCCTTAAATTATTATCACTCTTTAATGAAATTCTATTTCTATAATATTCTTGAGATCAACCTTTAAAATGTTTAGATTTACTTGGCAAAAATTGAGTACGCTTAATTAGCCTTTTACCGGCGAGCGGCCACCGACCCCAAGCCTTGCCGTGCGACTTGCGTGTACCGATCATGGCAGCTTTACTTTCCTATTGTACCTAATTCCATTTTTCAATAATTCCTTGTAAATATTTTCAAATATTTGCATCAAGTTGTTTATATAATCGTTCTTTTCAAAATTAAGGTATGCGGAAACGTCGCAATATGCAATAATAACCTTTCTGTGACTAATTACGGCTTTCTCTTATCAGTAATTTATGGTAAAACCTTGTTGCTGACATAATAAAATTTCAATTTTTTATATTAATTACGATTTTGATTCCATTAATGAGGTTAATGGAACGGCGTTGGAAATGCCGCGTAGCTCAATCTCGTTAGCGAATGTGCTAAAACATGCTGATTCATTTGCATACGGTTAGTTTGGCTGATGCCAGTGCAGCATTTCCTTCATAATTTAGTGTATGTCAACGTCTTTTCTATATGTTTACTATGAAGCATATTCTTGTATTACTAAAATCTTTATCGGTCGTCATTGACGCATATTTTGAACTCAACGCAATCGTGGCATTCAAATTTTTGAAATTGCTAATATATTTTCGTGTGTTAGTTTAATTGTATAAAGTAATTTTGATATGAGAAACAACTTTAAACCTAACCTATAAAATATGTTAAACTTTTAAATTTACACATTTCTTATATTCTTAGGTTATAACAACATTTTAAATCAATATATGTATCGTGAGACATTTTAGCAATTACCTTTTATATTGAAGAGAATGTTACTTTCACCACTCAATACTTGTTTCTCTGAAATGGGATCATATTATACCATACATTTTTGCAAGTTATTGCACATGTTTCTCATTTTGGCACACTATACATTTACTAAATTATAAAGCATAATTTCTTTTTTATTGATAATAGTCTTCAAATATATGTTCTTATCTCGGCCTGTACCTATTGTATGTACACAATAAAAAGATAATATCAAATGACTTAAGTATTTAGGTCAATCGAATAAAAATTGTTGACCAATTTTATAGTACACCATGTGACATTTCCAATTACCCAAAAAGTATGAGTATGGATATTTATACCTACAAAGAATAGTCCTGAACCAAAAAAAGGTTTTTTGTTGTTAAAACTCACACATTCAAATTATTGGTGATGGGTGACTACAGTATACTTTATAAATGAGCTATTTTAATTTCACTTTATAACTGATAACATATATGAAAATGGGTGTAAATTTGATTAATTCAATGTTTTTAATAAAAAAAATAGATTTAGCCATGAAAGAATAAAACCCATATTCATAATATTTTGCTGATATGTCTATTTGAAATATTTAATAGAAAAAAAGCAATCTTGCTTTTTTTTTTAATTTCATTGTGTTAAACTAATTAAAATGTAATTTACATACACACAATCTTTAGATTATCTTTCTATTAAAAAGATGTAATTTCAACAGTGATCAGCAATACTGACATGGACAATAGTAGAATTATTTCCAGGGGAGGGGAGGGGGGGGGGTGTCTTGCATCTGCTTCTACACATTAAACTACTAACATTTAAATGATTAACTTTATAATTTTCATTCATATCTTATCATCTTTTGTTCCCATACATCTAAATTTAAATAAGGGTTTTAGTAATACAGTTATATTTCTATAACTTTTTCTATATATTTTCCTTCATGGCAAGGAGGTGCAAATGCACCCCCTTTCACTCCCCTCCGATGCCCATTCCAATACACATAAATAGATTTATTATATACCTATAAAGGCAATAGTAAACTGATTTTGATTACATATATTCATGCTATATTGCTTGTAAGGTAGCTAATACTAGTAGCCGTTATGTTAGTTCTGTTTATGCTAATGTGAACCAGTTACTAACATAAACATAAAGCAATAACATGGAACTTTGGTTCAATTATTATCTATTCATAAAGATATAGGTGAAAATACATGAATAAATTAAAATATACTCAAACACTTAAATATTTAATGTACATATATTCAGGGACAAATATGTATTAGAAATTATGCCTAAATATGGAGGCATAATTGTTTCTCTCTTGTTATGATCTTTTAAAGTTTTTAAGGGTACGTTGAACTTCAAACTATTTAATGCTATCATCTCATCATATGGTTTTACAATAAAGTACCTATATCCTACAAAAATATTGATTTAGCCACTAGGTAATATATATTTAAATATTATAATAAAAAGTTTTTTTTTTGTAATTGATAAACTAAAAAACTACTGGAGTAATTTTAAAAATTCTCTCATCTATCAAAAGCTACATTATCAGTGACTAAATTATAGTAGGTCATATTTTATTTTCAAAAAAATAATAAAGATCCCCATGAAAATAGCCATAATGTAATCAAAGGTATCAAAAATTTGCAAATAATAGTAATTACTTATTTAACGTGCGCAACGAAAATTCGGGACGAGTCGGGGTGAGTTGCTAGTATATTATAAACTTAAGTGATGGCGTATTCAAAGTCTGTCAAGTATTATACAAATTTGTCCAATAAAATGTGATAAATATCAAATATCCCAAAAATGTTTCAAAACTTTCATATTCATAAAATTATAACATATTAGCGATTCACTCTCGCTCCGCTCGGGTTCGTCCCTAGTTATGTTTTAACATTTAATATAGATTTCTCAGAGATGAGATATTTTGTCGTAGTAAAAAGTATGTTGACCAGGATAACCTTCTATCATTATATCAAATTTCATCAAAATCGGTCCAGTGGTTTTTTCGTGATGCGTTCCGAGACAGATAGACAAAAATTCTAAAAACTATAAATTTGGCCTCTTTATTGATAATATTATATCAATAAGATTTTCAAAAAAATATTTAATGTACAGATTCGACTCGGTAAGAATTTTATTATATGTATAAATATATAAGTATTCCTTATTTATAAATTGTATGAACTATGTACAGAAAACTGTTTGTTGGTGGTCTATCATGGGAGACGTCTCAAGAGAATCTGCAGCGGTATTTCTCTCGCTACGGCGATGTGATCGACTGCGTGGTGATGAAGAACAGCGAGTCGGGCCGCTCGAGAGGCTTCGGCTTCGTGACTTTTGCTGAACCATCGTTGGTTAATGTGGTTTTGCAAAATGGACCCCATCAACTTGATGGCAGGTGTGTATACTTTTTTGTTAATGTGATAGGTAATTTATATTTTATTTTAAAATTGAAATTTAAATTTGCATAGTTTTTTTTATAATATTTTTTATAAATTATTTTCGTTTCCAATGCACGTAAACTGCAAATCTTGAACTCTAAAACAAACTATAAATGGTCTGAATCACGAAGCTGCGTATGCTTGAATGTTTCGACATATTTAAAGATACTTTTATATATAAATAAATAGAACATGTTTTCTGGTAATAATTATCCCCCTAAAATGTAATGAAACCTTAGGGGTGTCATTCAAAAAAATCAATATAACAGAGGGATGAAATGTGCCATTTTGTTTTTAACTACTGAGCACATTGTATACATTTAGGTTGAGCATATATGTATTTAGGTTTAGTTTTGTAGTTACAGTGTACTGGATTGAGAGATAAAGACCGATTTCAAACGCCCATACTAACTAAAAACATTGATTATATTATCATTATATATACAACTAACAAGTTTATTCAACATTGTATGGCATTAAGTTTATATTACCTTAATGCACTTTAATCCTAACAATAGCTGCGTTGCCTATATAATATACCTTTGATACAAGCCAGCCGTCCGCTGTGCGTAAATGTGACCCGGTTCGATGCGATTCGCGCTCGTTCCCACTTCACGTAAATTAGTGTTCAAATCAACACGTGTGTAAACATTGCCAATTTTATTGTATTTTTGGAATTTTCATAGTTTATCTATTTGTTTAGATTTTATGTTGAAATAAAAGTTGAATTTGTGCTATCGTTAGGCGTAAAATTATGAAAATTGAAAACTGTATGTACATATTTAAGTTAATAGAAAAACAATGGTTCAAATTGATATTTTAGATCGTTTTATTCTGTAGGCGTTACATAGTTGTTTTTAACTGTTCAATTTTTGTTAATTGTTTTTGAATAAACCTGTGTAGGAATCAGCATTGCAACCTACATAATTATGTTATATACAATCATGAATAGAACACGGAACACCCTACCAAGTCACGATTTTAGCCTATTAAGTTAAATAAAAAAAACAGGTATCACTTTTACTGTTTATATTTAAATATCACGTAATATGTACGGAATATTGCGTTAGACATGTTTTAATAATAGGCACATTTCCACATCCAGGCAGTGTCTCAACTTATTTGTTGTAGTCACGTTCAGATGTTTGTGGGAAATTAAATGCAAACCAGCATATACTTGTTGCTTTTTATAAGCAAGATAGTCTACAAAGTTTGCTACAAGTTTTATTGTGCCTCTTGATATTATACTTTTTTATATTTTACTAGCGACTCTACTTCGTTTCGCTCGGGTTCATCCCTAGCTTGCTTCTCAATACAAACTTTCATCCCCATTTTCACTCCCTTAAGGGATGATTTCCGGGATAAAAAGTATCCTATGTCCTTCCCAGAGTCTTAAACTATCCTCTCACCAAATGTTGTCTAAATCGGTTCAGTAGACTCAGAGATTACCTCGTACAAGTACAACGTCACAAACTCACAATCTCACAAACTACCTCTTTATAATATTAGTATAGATATATAGTTTTACAATAATTTGTTGACATTTATGATTACTGCTCCGCTCCCTTGGGTAGTAGCATGATGATATATAGCATATAAGCCTTCCTCAATAAACGGGCTATTTAATGCAAAAATATTTATTCGGAATTAGTAGTTCCTGAGATTAGTGCGTTCAAACAAACTGCCTCTTTATAATATTAGTATAGATAATTTAGATATACTCGATTTTTTTTTTAATTTCGATATAATTGTATATAAGAAAGATTCATAAATAAAAATAAGCTTTTAATACAAAAGAATTATTCAAACATAATTACTTTGAAAGGAAATCTTATTTTTAGTATAACATCTCATAAACTTTTATTATAAAGGAGAGTGTTTAATCTATACTTCTATATCTATACTAATATTATAAATATGAAAGTTTGTTTGTTACTTTTTCTCGCCAGAACGGCTGAACGAATCTGGATAAAATTTGGCCCAATGATAGATTATAATCTGGAATAAGACATAGGCTACTTTTTATCCCGGAAAATGTACGGATAGAGTTGTTTTTGTTTGTCGTAGAGGCAAACCCGAGCGAAGCCAGGGTGAGCCGCTAGTGAGTGAATATATAATAATTACATTGCATTTCAAGAGATATAGTAAAAGTTGTTATTACTTGCATTCCAAGTTCTGAAAGATATGTTACTAGAGAAAGATTAGATCAGTGAAAGTTTTATCCGAATGGGAAAGTTGTTTCTTTAGCCCCTATAGAATGTCAGTACTAGTCAAAATAATGCTAATATGTAACGCTAACATTTTATAATAATCTAATTGAACTGTACAAAATAAAAGGAAAATATGATGACTCTTAATTAAAGTAGTTTTGAACAACAAGCAAATTAAAAATTTGCGATGGTCGCCATCTTGTTTAGGGTATAAAAGGTTTGGCAATGAAGTATAATCGATGAATTAAACAACATCAAATTGTCACTATATCATCATAAAATATCTATAAACCATTTGATACAGCACTTTTGATATTGATATTATCTTTGAAAACATATAATATGCAGTCATTATAGTTCGTATAATTTTTCATGATAAATATATGCAAAGCTTAGTTTAGTTTTATTTTCTGCGATTTCGTATTTGTTTAACTTTAATGTTTATAATATATCGATGTTAATATAAAATCGCGGTCAAAAACCTCATCTATACAGATAAATAAAATTTAAGTGTCTGTTTGTAATGTCAAAATAACAGCTTTTTACTAAATACCTATGTATATACGGTATAAATGAGATTTTCTTTTAAATTTTTGTCTGTCTGTTTGTTCCGGCTAATCTTCGAAACGCCTGGAAGGATTTTAATGGAACTTTAACTGGCATATAGCTAATGTTATTAGGAGTGATTTAGCTTACTTTTATTTAAGAAAAAGAATCAGGGTTCCGCGTAAAAAATTTAAACCCATAAAATTATATACAAAATACGCGTAGCTTGGGCACGAACCCGAGCGAAGCGAGCGTAAGTCGCTAGTGGTGTTTAAGTCATACGAGGCGGCAAACTACTTTTATCCAGTGGTGAAATTGTCTTGTTATTTACGACCATTTGTCACTGGTTCTTCTGATAGTTGTATGGACAAGTTTAGAAGTAAAATTGAGAACTTGCTAAATCGGATCAATATAAAGTTTATATTATATTCGACTTCATCTTATTTTTTTATGTACACATTTATACTTGGTTAATTTAAAATCATTCATTATATGTATATTATTATGACAAAAATAATAGACTGCAAAGCTTTCAAAGTTAATACATTCTTAGTATTAAAATTCATATGAAATTTGAATATTCGACCTTCATGCCGCATGCCAGTAGGACCAGGCCTTGTGGTTTAAAAATATAGAAATTAGAGATCAAATGATTCATTTGATATTAATTATGTCGACGTGTCACTTCAATGGAAATAAAAATCTTGGTTTCCCATGTAACAATAAAGTCTCTGTTTGACAAGGTAACGCTCTCCTTTGATCATATCCATATTTGCTTTAGGACGTTTAGATTACTATTGTTATAGTTCTTTCGATATTATTATAACTCACTAGCGGCAATGGCGGTGTCCCACTGGACCCGGTCATTTTTCCGGGATAAAAAGTAGCTTATGTGTTATTCTGATGTATGAACTATATTATTGTAAAGTTTCATTAAAATCCATTCAGTAGTTTTTGCGTGATAGAGTAACAAACATCTATACATGTATACATCCAGACATCCTCCTCACAAACTTTCACATTTATAATATCAGTAGGATTTATCCTTAACTATAAGAAAAGATTGAAAGAAGGATAAAATACACGCCATCAAAATATTTTTGTATATATATTATAATAAAAATATATATATTTCAACGTATCATGTATATAACAATTCTTTGAATAATAAGTACAGAGCAGTTAGTATACTGAACACAATTTGTAGGATTTTACCGCTAGCCCAAGCATAGCGATAATAAGTCTATAACCTCAAAATGAAACACGTGTTATGATGTTTGTTACTTTGTAATTTCTAGCACAGTTCGTCGCTTTATGTATTTATAATTTATAATTTAATTTTAAAAATACCTCCTCATTCCACTTCATTTAGTGATAAATCATTCTGTGTAACAGCCTCACGACTTTGGAATTCTCTCCCTTTGAGCGTAAGAGGCGCCAAAACGTATAATACTTTTAAAAACCGTTTAAAACTGCATTTTCACTCTTTTTAAACCATATTCTTTTTACCATCTTTGTTTGTCTTTTTTTAATGCCATTTTACTTATAAGTTCTATTATTATCTATTTAATATGATATAATATTATTTATATATTTATGTACCCATAATATATTAAATATAATTATTATTATAAGTATTTTGTCTTGTATTAATCTTATCATATTTATGTAAATATAATATTATTATTATGTACATATGTATGTATTTTTGATATGTAAGTTTATTCATAGTATTAAAAATGAATTATTGTTATTATTGTATTATTATTATTATGGTTTTATTATTATTATTATTACTACTATATAGTTCACACCCCTTCCCTCTTACAGTTTGTCAATTCCAACACCTTAAGGTTGCCTGGAAGAGATCGCTGTTTTAGCGATAAGGCCGCCTCTTGTACATAACTCTTTTTATATATTTCTTGTATTTTTTTTTTGCTCTAGTGGGTGTACAATAAAGAGTATTTATTATTATTTATTATTATTTCTTTCTGATAGCAAAATGAGCATATTTATATACATACTCGATTAGAAAAACATGTTAACGTAAACAATTTCTTAGAGCTAAGATAGCATGATATTTGGGTCAGTTTCCGAATTAATATAATTCTTCCAGAACAATCGATCCGAAACCATGCAATCCTCGCACGCTGCAAAAACCTAAGCGCGGAGGTGGCTATCCCAAGGTGTTTCTTGGGGGTCTCCCCTCCAACATCACTGAGACCGACTTGCGCGTTTTCTTCGGTCGCTACGGCAAGGTCATGGAGGTCGTCATTATGTACGATCAGGAGAAAAAGAAGTCTCGTGGTAAGTTTGATTTAAATTTTACAATATACTTATTATGTAATTAAAATAAAACGTTAGATAGGTTTTTAAAATTGATATTAATTCGCGCGTTATTATACTATACTACGTATAATATTTTAATATTGAAAATCCATACATTTATCATTACCTCCTTTTATGATTGTTGGTTATAAATGTTAATTTAGCCAACAAACTTTCGTTAGATGTTTATTATGGGATAAGAAAAAGTCTTATAAAATTCAATATACTTTGTTATGATACGATTTTTAGCAACTTTAGTATTCACTTAAAAGATTAAATTTTCATCCAGACATCATGGACTTTGAATACCATTATTGGGGCCAATACAACGAAAATATGATGAGATTTGGGACTTAGTGAGAGAAATTACTTATAAACATGAAAGAAAAATTACTAAGATTCACTTTTGAGCTTTTTTCTATTATTTTCTATTTTTTTGTATTTCTTTATAATTTGTTATGATATTCAAAATTGATAAAAAATTATATATAAATATATTTGTTTCGATTTATTTATGAATAAAAATTTAAATTATGGATTTTCTAAAATATTGATCAACCGTTCTCCTAGATACAAAACAAACTTTTTTAGGTCATGTATATTTTATTTGTCTAACTTATCGATAAATCTATCGAAATTTCATACTCTCATATCAAAGTCAAAATTCGTGTTGACCTATGTAATGCTAGTAATATCCACATCCAGGCAGTGCTATCAACGTTAACAGTTGTGGGCACGTTCAGATGTTTGTGGTATATCAAATGTAAACCAGCATATACTTGTTGTTCTCATGGACAGTCACAAGTACAAGTCTACAAAGTTTGCAACAAACGTTCAATAAGTAAAGTTAAATTTAAATAAGTCTCAAGATTATTTCTTTAGTAACTATACTATAGTCGTTATACCTTCTGGGAATTGATACTTGTAAAAATTTTTGTCATAGGGAAATTAGAGAATGTGTTTATTTGTTTACAGGCTTTGGATTCCTGTCGTTTGAAGACGAGATCTCTGTGGAGCGAGTGACCCAAGAGCATTTTATCAACCTCAATGGGAAACAAGTAATTTCTTTTTTCTATTATATTCTGTATGCCGTAACACAGGTCTCCTAGTACTGCAACAAGGGCATTGACTAATTATAATTATTAATATGTAAAACTAAACTGAGATAGGAAATGTTCATTCACATGTTGTATAAATTAAGAAATAAAGGTTTATTATTCCACATCCAGGCAGTGCCTTGAAAATATTTTTCGTTGGTACGTTCAGATGTTTGTGGGAAAGCAATTTGCAAACAAGCATATACTCTTTGTTAATCTTAACAAGTGAGTCTACAAAATTTGCTACAGTTATTTTCTATTAAAATGTATTATGATTTATGACTAGCGATTTGCCCTAGTTTTGTTGGCTATGGTAGTCCATATGTAACGTTTTGCTTCCTATATATTTTACTAGCGACACACCCTCTCTTCGCTCGGGTTCGTCCCATAGTTGATTCCCCATACAAATTTTCATCCCCATTTTCACAACCTTAAGGGATGATTTCCGTACTAAAAAGTATATTATGTCCTTCCCAGGGTCTCAAATTGTTTTCTTACCAAATTTTATCTAAATCGGTTCAGTAGATCCAGAGATTACCCCCTACAACGTCACAAACTCACAAAATTTACCTCTTTATAATATTAGTATAGATTGCTTTATTTCAAACCTTTTAGGCAGCGGATGCCGAATTCGGCACGTTTTTTTCCGGCTTCACATAAAAGTTATTTTAATTTCTAAACAGTTTAAAAACTTTTTTATTTGCTCTCATAGCAATCGATGGTAATGTAGCTTTCTAGTAGTGAAGAGAACTAAGAATTCTCAGAATGAGTTTAATAGTTTGAGATTTATATAATACTAGCAGTACCCGCGACTTCGCCCGCGTCCAAACTTCCGATCGCTAACAAAATTCACAGGATCATACGCTGGGCTAATCTGAAGATTACCTGAAAATTTCATCAAAATCGCTCCAGCTCTTTTGGAGTCCATAGGAAACATACACACATCGATTCTTATTTTATTTAATCAACAAATTAAATTTATTTATATTTATTTATTGCTGAAATGGAGTCTTTTATAAAAGTTTAGTGACACGCCGACTGCAGCGCCACCTACCGGGGTCAATTGTGTTTTCAAACCATCCAGGAACTCATTGAAATATACACACAAAATGTCATCCAAATCGGTCTAGCCCTTTAGGAGGAGTAGGTTAACAAACACACATACAGAAGGATTATATATATTAAGATTAGTGTTGTCATATGTTTCTAAAGTATACCTTCTCAATACATACTGTATATACATACGTAATGTAACCTGTCCATTATAAGGGCAGTATTAAGGAACCTTAGACAAGAGCTTTATATATAAGAGCCGATATAACAGTGTAGATTTAAGCAAATCCCATATTATTGTTTTATGTTGACTTTAACCCTTGATTATGATAACTAGGTGGAGATCAAGCGTGCAGAGCCCCGCGACGGGTCCGGCAAGCTGGGCTCGGGCTCGGGCGGCATGGGCGGCGGGGGCATGGGTGGCGCTCCCGGCGACGCGCCCGCCGCCGGCCAGTGGGGCCCGCCCCAGGCCGCGCCCATGAATATCATACAGGGGCACAACGGACAGATGGGCGGCCCGCCCATCAATATGCCCATGGCTGGACCTAATATTATGCAAGGGTGAGTTTGTGGATGCTTTCGTGGACTTTTTTTTTATATTTTGGTATGTGTGTGTTTTCGTTTAGGGAAATTTTATTACTACTTTAAGGGAATGTTGGATTATTTTAATTTAATGAATGAATGTGATAAATGAAAGATATTTATTATTTTGTTAGGCTATAATCATTGTGAGTATTAATTCATAATTGTATTGTATTCACTTCTATTTAATTACTGAGCTAAATGTTTCCATTTAATGTGATGTGTTCTGGACCTAGTTTACCAAGCTGGACAGGTGCGGATTTTGTGGACTTACATAACTACTTACATACTTCACTGACGACGACGACGTGACGACTTCACACAAGACTTGCTACATTACTCACAATCTTTTCCTTCATGTGAGTGAGTGGTAATCTTGTGTTGAAGATTATGATTTGCATAATATGAGAAATTCAAAGGTTCGAGATTCGGATTCAAACCCTGAGCTACCATAGGCTTCTATATTCAATATTACCACTAGTGATAAATTAAAAAAGTGAATATGAATAAAATATAACATGGATATGGTGGCGGTACAGCTACCAAGGCTGGGGCACGTCCGCGGGACAGACGTCGTACGCGGGGTACGGCGCGGCGGGCGGCGCGGGCGGGCCCGGCAACTACCAGGGCTGGGGCGCGCCGCCCGCCCAGCAGGCGCCGCCGCACGCGCCCGCCTGGCCCGCCACCAACAACTACACGCAGCACGCGCAGCCGCCCGCGCAGGGATACGGCAGCTACGGTGAGTCGCACACACACACACACACACACTCACGCGCTCGTATGTACACATATAAACATATGTACCAGTGGCGAAGGGTCCATACAAGACGTTTTACCTTAAAATGTATTTTGCTATAATTTTACATACATTTAATTTTTTAAATGTATAAATGTTCTTTTGGAAATATATATGCATAAATAATAATAGCTTTATTTCTTTTTGCATTAATACATATATCAATACTTTTTTGTTTTTTTTTGGAACGGCTTACCTCTGCTAAAATTTCACCCTCCGCCACTAATACATAGATATACATAAATACTCAACGCGCACATATATATATACACACACATTGCAAATAAACGCATAAACGATCGTATATCATATTCGTGCATACTTACACTCATACACCTACGTACATAAATTTACGTTCGTACGCGTACTTATACAGACATATTATATACACGCGCGTGTATATAAGCGGCCTTATCATAATATTTATACATACTCACACTCATGTACACGTGTCCATGTGTGAACGTATATAAGCATACAAAATTATAAATGTAATAACGCGCGCGCTTCTTGAATAGGAGTATACATGCACGAAATATAGTTTCTTTTCGTATGTAATTGTGACTTGAATTTGTAATTTATCGTAACTGTACTTTCTTTATGGCTTTAGTTTTCGCGTGTCAGTTGTAGAGGTCATATTTACGTTATTTCTTTTTATGAATTTTTCATAGAAGAAATGTACGAAATACATAAATGTTTATGTTAATATACTTATAAATATTAAGCTTATTTTCTAATATTATATACATCTGTGTAAGTATTCTCTCACACAATCATTTTAACACATTTAACACTACCACGCACACACTAACAAAGATGCAATAAAATTGTATTGAAATTAAACGGAAATATAAAATAATCACATAAATATAACAAACTTTTGAAAATCCGCGATATCATAACATTCGACAATAATGCCAGTGTAGAATGATTCCAAACGAATACATGGAGACGTAAAATCGATACAGCCAGTCACACGATAAATAGTAACCTATGGCGATACGACAAATAGTAACTTTTACGATACGACAAGTAGTAACTGTGGCAATGCGACAAATAGTAACTGGCGATACGACAAATAGTAAATGTGACGTAATATGTCGTGTTAACAGCAAACTACAGCTCGGCCCCCGCGGGCGCGTCGGCCGGCGGCAGCTGGACCAACTGGAGCATGCCGCAGAACTCCAACTCGACTGGCTCTGGTACGAATGTCAATATTAATTTTACTGCACCTTCATACCCATACTAATACACAGACAGACAGAATATTTATTTGTATTTATATATGTATATATGTCGATCTAATGTTATAACATAACCATACTTACACAATACACATTGCTCATTTAGTATAAGCGTTTATTTGTTGTGTGTAGAGATAGTGGTAGTTTTGAGTAACTAATTTAATTTGTTTTTAAATTTTGGATTCAGTTATGAATATAGTGGGAATAGAAATTTTGAAATATGCATTTCGATAAGTGTATATTTTAAGAATTATAATTTGCCATGGTAATAGCAATGAATCAAAAATTAATTTTATATATGTTAAGTTTCTATCGACATTTGTTTATAAAATAGTGAGTTTCATGATATATCGCGTATAACGGTATGGATTTAACGTAAAATAGATTAAAAAATATTAATTTTCATCGTTAATGGTTTCTAAGTTAAAGCAGTATGGTTTCCAATTCGGGTAACCAATTCGGGTGACGCATCGCGTACGATATCGCGTCTAGACTGTATGTATGTATGTATGTAGTGTAGACTGCAAGTATAACACGGCGGCGTTCGTGTCGACAGGGTCGTACGTGCCTCTGTCCGAGGGCGGCGAGATGTACGGGCGCGGCGGCAGCGCGGCCACGGGCGCGGCGCCGCTCGCCGGCGCGCTGTCCTCCGCTGCGCTGTCCAAGTCCTCGTCGGCGGACTACTCCACCTACCAGCAGTACCCGCCCGCCTACCAGCAGGACCAGGTACACGAGACCCCGCCGCCCGCGCACGCGGCGCGGATGTACTAGAGCAAGCTAGGGTTGTACGCATCGCATGATGGTCCCTAATGTAATGTGTCGTGTGTATTGGGGATGCATCGATACGATACAGATACCGATGCGGGCACTGTAGGCTTTAAGATATATAAAAAGTATAAAAGTATTTATTGGTTTAAAAAACACAGAAACAAATGGACATTTGGAAATTGTAATTTAACAGGATATTAGTTATTTTTAAAAAAAGTAACTAAACAAAATATCAATTTAATAAATAACGTTCAAGTTAGAAAATAATATATACCGGTATCGGTATCGGATGCATCCCTAATTTATATTCATTTTGCCAACTTTACTGAGGAGGGTTAAGTCTCAATTAAGATGTTCTTTTTTTGTGTATGTTACGCGATATTTTAATCAGTATGTTTACCGCTTAGTGTTTTAAGTGTCGATTTTTTTTATAATAAAGTATTGATTTAAATTATATATATTTTTTTGTGTATTTCAAGTAAGACTATTTTACAGATTTTTTTTATTTATGGGATATTGAAGTAAAGCTCGTATTATAAAAATAAAGATTACAATTCGTTACAATGTGTTCGCGTAATATATAAAAAATTAAATACAACTGAACTGAGAATTTACTTGTTTTTGGGAGGTGGTTACAAAAATAAAAAAAAATATAAGTCAATTTTTTAGAGGCTCTATTACTTAGAGATCATCACAATAATATTATACAAAATGAAAAGATAAAGCAAATCTTTTCATTTGCAATGAGATAAAAAGAGTTTTTTTTTGACAATTCACTGTTTGCTCTAGTACATCTCAGTTTGTGACACGTGCTCATGCGCTGCCATTACATGAACACATTATCATCATACATTTTATTAAATAAACTTCAAACAATACACATGAATAGGTGATTTCGAAATCGTTATCAATAATTGTATAACTTGTGCAGATAAAGAATGAGTTCTATATATGGTGTTTAAATTCACTATTCTTTTTAGTAAACTAGTTATGCCAGCTTAGATCGCAAACAAAATAATGGCATATAGTGTGTTCTTACTTTGTTTTGTGTCGGAACCTTCGAGATTCAACAATAATTCTCTTTTTTTTTTTCTTTTTTTTTACTTATTTTTTTTATTGATTAGGTATTGTATTTTGAAATCACAGATTCATTAGAACTAAACTGGTGACATAATCGTATTTAATTTTTTTTTTCAAGTTAATATTGTATGCAAATTACAAATAAATTTAATGTTATATAATTGAATTGTTGTAATATTATTGAATGTCAATAACATATACAGGAGTTATGTCGCCATCTTAAAAATTGCTACAATACTGTTACTTGCTGAGCAACGTAGCGGCATATCTAATTATAAGTTCTGCTTGATATTTTTTTATACAAAACATGTGCTTTCATTTCCATTGCAAAATTACTTTGAGCTTATATTATTTTGTTCATGTTCAGCTTAAACTATGATGTGAGCTCAGCTTTAAAATCAAATTGAAATTTGCGAAATATTTTTAGAGTATTTGAGAAATATTCGAGAAGCCTTTTAATTTAATATAAATTATTTTGCAAATGATTTGATTCAATGTTATAGTGAGCCTGGCATGAACCATTACCCCTTAGTTAGTTGTTTAACCCCGCTGAAATGGTTTTTGCTAGGAACATTTGGGTATTGGTTTTAGATTAGTATTAAATATATTTCATGCATAGCCTTTGATGTTTGAATATCATTGGTCATACATGAAATGTATATTTTAGTGGCTTTGCGTTCATCATCCCATGCTTTTTATCGAATTGACTTTTTACCTACTGTACTTTTTAAGTTTTTAATTTATGTTTTGTCATTTAATTGATAAAATAAAAAGTACAGTTGGAAAAAGTTACATCACTGAACCTTGTTTAAAAATATTAATTAAATATATAATTGGAACGTTTTTAAACTTGGTCACAGTGTGGGTCGCGGTGCAGTCAATACATATCATTTGCTTGCTTTTCCAAAATACTCCCGTTACTTTGAGAAAATTCTGAATTGAAACTACACTATCATACTATGTTAAATTATTTGCAGTGATTTCGTTTTTTTTTTTGTATCTATGTAGTTTCTTTTCGGCGTTTCTGACCCGCAGACAATGCGTATTTATCTCTGCTCTATCTAGGATTTCTTTTAATATCATTCTACCCATCAATCCGCCTAGATACCGCAAATATATAATATAAAGTACAGCCAAGTTGATTTATTGATTATGTATAGTACTATTGCTTTAAACCTTTGGGGCTTTATCCTTTTCCGTTGTCCATCATGTCCCGCTTTGTTTTCTCTCCCGGCATCCATTCCCAACTGATTGACGTGGTTTCTGTATGAACGTATTGAATGAATGAGTTCTATATTAATGAATGAATGAATGGTGGAACGATTGAATGGTTAATTGAGCGAATGATTGGTCGATTGCTAGTTCAATTTGGTTGTACTGAGCGGTTTGTTTGCGATTCATGAATGTGTCACACTGTTTTGGTGAACGAGCGAAATTCAGCGAAAACATTGTTAATTTTTGAATTGAATGCAAACAAACGTACATATCCACAACGCAGCATGAGTTATATAGAGCCCCATAGTTCCCATGTCCGTGTGTGTTCCATATCGGCGCTTTATCCCGTACAGACATCGACGCCCATGCATGCTTCCAGTGGCAGACGATATGTGCGATGTCTTTTTGATTTTCTGATGCTATTCTAAAGGCGGTCCTCTGATGTCGCACCGCTATCCATAGTGAAAAATCAAGAAGTTTCGTGTCTTGCCGGCTAGGGCCAGGGCTATAGGGCGGGGGGTAGGGGGATCAATGTCGTTTAAGTTTCGCTGAAGGTCTCTCATCACCACTCCCACTCCTAACTTCATCGCCCTCGGGACAGCTCACACGCTTTCGGTCCATGTTCACGCTCCGCTACTCACAAACGCTAGTACAATTGCGGCGAGTGGTTTATGTGTTCTTCTTTTGCAGTTGGTCGATCAGGGCCCACAAGAGTGGCTCCTCCACAAAGAGAATTAGATAAGGGCGGGGTCGGACGGGGTTTTGTCGCGAAACTAGGGGGGATTTCTCACTATGGACGGTTCATGCGCGGCTCTCCTTAAAGGCATCGCACCGCACTAGACTAAGCTTACCTTTAGTTCCGTTCCGATCGTTCATATCGCATTCTATGTAGAGCGAGATGATTATAGCTTTGTTTCATCTCAACTTGTAAATTGGCATTTAAAGTACAAATTAGTAAAATTTCAATTTTCTCATATTGTTACAGGTTCATTAATAGATAATTTTAATGATAATATTAAGAGCTGTACTTTAAGTGTTCAGAGATGAAATTCGAATATGTTAATTGTAACCAGAGCATATGCAATGTGTGTGTAACACCGCGGTGGCGTGACGCCGTCGCGGTGCGCACGCGGGAGACGCGCGCCTCGAAGCCTGGACTTAGTTTGTTTGGAAAAATTTATATTTTTATACTTATCACATTAACCTTTGAACAAATAAAAAGAAATCGTATTGTGACGTGGAAATTAGAAGGCTTCGGTGTGACGCGTCGGCGCACCATACCAATGTTTTGTCGTCGCGTTACTCGCTCGCAAACTCACAACATTTTTAGCTAACACCGTTTGGGTGTATTTTTAACTATTTTAAAATACTTATTTTAGTATGGTTTTTAAACGAAAGCGAATAATTAGACGACAAACCACCCATATACATTAGATTGTCAACGCAAGTGGCCTAATTCAACATGTAATCTGTATTAAGCTGGTATTTTTATTTCTGTTTAAATAATAATCTCGTAGTGAGCGCTTAGAACCCATGATAATTTGGTGGCCACTTAGCGTTCCGGTAAGAATAGGCCCCTTTGCGCTAACGGTCCCAAATAATATTATATCAACAGACCTGCCTTGTATACTTCGTCTAGTATCTCGGCAGAGAATTGTACTATTAGTTTTGTATAACGGGGGCATCACGCACCGCGGTAGTGTCGCGCGAGTGGGACGATACTTAGGGTCGCCAACTTTCGATATTTTTTTTTATTTATTTATAATAAAGTCATTCATACATTTGAATCTTGAATTTTATTTGCCATATTTAACCGCTTTTCGAGCGGAACGTCATCACTGTATGTAGGTATTGTGTGTGAAACAATGTGTAAGCGTATATATATAGCCGAGGTTAGGTTGGCGACCCTATCGATACTAGACGGGGTATACGGTGGGGCGGCCAGTGACGGCGGCTAACGTGTGCGGGAATGGCTAGGGCTCGTCGTACGGCGGCGGCGGGTCGCGCTACGGCGCCGGCGAGTACCACTCGGCCGCGCAGCCAGGTGTGCACCACCCGCACCACGCGCCCAAACACTTCAACAACGAGTTTAACAAGGAGTGGCCCGCCGCCTAGTCCACACGCCCCCCACACACCCCCCACACCCACACACACACCCCCCGACACCCCCACACCACACACACGCACACGCCCCACGCCCGGCGCGCGAACAGTATGCCCCGAAACCATCGCCGATTAGCGACTTAACAGTTTACGGACGTAGGTTTTATATGACACGAGATATTCGTATACCTCCGATGCTTAGCACCTTTTGACATTTATTAAATTATAATAATAATAATTAATCTTCTATATAGTTGGAAATGTTGCCCGTTTGTTACGGTATTCGAGTGAAATATTTAAAATTAAATTTTATAACAATGCAATACAAATTAAATGAATGACGATTATATTAACTATAGTGACGTGTTGAAACTTTGCAATTTTTAAGAGATTATTTAAATGGAATTTACGCCATCGACTGCATTAACACAAACCCACACGCGTACGTTAATTTAGTCTAAACAAATTAATTGTAATTAAAGTAAAGTTAGGTAATGGCGTGGCATAGATGGCATAGTGTTATCGTGAGGTGTTCGTATCGTATCCCCGGTCTCGCGGCTCCGACCCGACGACGCGCCGCACTCGCGTGTACATCTCTGTACACGAAAAGTTTTCTTTATCTTTTTATTATTCTATTTTGGATGTGGGCTCCTTTTATTGTTTTTTTTTTAATATTTCCATTATGTCCGATGATTTTGTTTTCGCGTTTATAAAATGATTTCTTTTAATAACACCATGTATCGATCGTATGATGTATTCGTGGTATATCGATGGGATCTCACTATTCGCGTAGTGATGATGTTACGAAGTGTACGGGGGGCGCGCCGCGAGCGCTGCTCCACATTTGACAGACACAATGTATAACAAGGCCAATTTAGGGAAAATGACCTAAACAACTTAACTTAAGCTAATGACTTGTATAAATATTTGGTATATATATCTATATGTATGTTTAATATTAGAGTTTTGGTTATTTACCACCCACTAGACTTAGGAAAACGGTAGGGATCTAATGAAATAAACATTGACTGAACGTGATTTAAATATTTTTAATTTCCCGTCGTTTAAAAGGGGAACAATTCCTGTATAAATATTATTCGTAATTATAATTATTTTCTTATATGGATTTTAGTTTTTTATCGCAATTTTAAGTTTATATGGATTTTATACTTTAATGAAGTTTTACCTGCCAAATTGTTGACGAGCAAAAGATAATGTTGTATGTGTTAAGTGACGACGCTCAAGCATTTAGGATATAGAGCCCGGCGCGGCGGCGCCGGCAGCCCCGCACCCTCCGCGCGGACCTTTGTACATATATACTTACTCGTGTGTAAAGCATAATTTTAATCGATTCTCTCGTCACATAGTTTTAAAGTCTTAATTTATGTGATCGCCAAATATTATTAAAAGCTATATAGAGGTATCGGCGGTGGCGGCCCCGCGCGCTCGCCCGCTCCCTCACAAAGTGAGTTATAATTTAAAGTAACATTTTTAGATTAAATTTAATGTTAGTCCTTTACTGTACTATATCGCTCAATCATTTGACCGATCGACTGATTAAAATTTTAGTGATAAGCTAAGTAATGTAATCGCGGAGCGCGGCGGCTCCGGGGCGCCGCCGCCCGCACGTGTCGCCACCGTGCCGTCACCCTGCCGTCACGGCGTCGTGTGCTAGGGACCTGTTCCTTTACTTTGTAATAACTTAATGAGTAGATACGAGGCCGCGTTTGTTATAAATGTTTTTAATAGGAAAATTGTTGATTACATTGAATGCATAATTTGATCGTATAGTATAGGGTTATTTAAGATCGCACCGTAAGTAAAGTATAATTTATCTATGAGGAGTAATGTGAGACGTAAGCGATTATAAGCGATGCGGTCCGGCGGAAGGTGCGGAGTACCAAATTTAATGCTAAAACATAGAGAAAAACGCCTTACATTGTGATGTTCATAGTTAACGCGCATATTGGTACGTTTCTTATAGCTCTTATTATATTACACACGACTGAAACACATGATTATGTAGGAAGTTGAAACTTGTACCTTAAAACATAACATATATTCAAATAATTAAATAATTACTAAATGACGTCGGTGCCTATTCGCCCACTACTATATAGGTTACGTGTAGTTGTTGCCGCTCTTACCGCTCCTGTACTCTTATCTGATCGTTCCTATGTAAGTTAGGTTTAATTTGTCATGTTCATTCCTCGTTAAGTCCATCGTTGATAAGTTCGCTTAGACGGCACGTTCGAGTCGCTTTTACTTGGCATTTGTTCTCGTCGATACTAACAAGTAACCCCCCGCTGTTCACCCCTCACCTTCACTCGTGCGCACGCGCACCCGACATACCCCTCTAGTTTACCGAAATATCGTTTCCGCATTTCGTTTATAATTTTACTTACTGTAGGTTTAATGTACAACCACCGATAGAGTGACGACATCCTTCACATCTGTTTAATGTTAGGAAACGATGCCTTACAAAACGTTAAGTGAATATATATAGATGATTTATATTATTATGTTATTTTCAGTGATATTAAATTAGCACTAAGGTGTTTTTAGATGCGGGCTCGGCCCCGGACTCACAAACCTTCGGAACAATTTGTAAGAAGTTAGTTTGTAATGAACCATTGTGGCAATCTTCTAAGTAACATAAAGAGTATAATTTATTTAAATAAAGTATAATATGTATTAGAAATTTTAGATTTACTCAACATTAAACTTAGTGCAAATTATTGTGAGAAATCAATTGATACTATTTATATGGGTTTTTAATTATTATTATATAGGAGAAGAGCATTAAATATTGGATGAATTTATTAATTAAAATAGTTAGCAAAATACAATACGGTAAGACTCGTTAGAGGCTCGTCTGTCAAATGTGTATAGCGGGCGTGCGCGGCGACCGCCCCCGGCCGCGCCACGGGCCACAGGCCACGCGCCACGGGCCATGCGCCACGCGCCACAGGCCACAGGCCACGGCCACGAGGCCCCCTCACGCCCACCCGTGAGTGACACTTGCATCATTGCATTTTATATTACACTGAGTAATATCGACATAAGATATATACTGTATCTTAATATAATATAATGTTTAATAATAATATTTGATCATGGCTTAACTGTAGTACTGTTGTGCTGTTGTGTAGTTAACCTTTCGATTCTTGTTTGTATTACTTTATAATATAGTGTACGCGGTTTTTATATGTGTATGTTTATTCAAGTAGTAACATGTTTGTGTAAAAGTGTATTTTTGGTATAATGATTAATTACAATTCGCGCGCGCGGTTTTGTCTGTGTAGTCCGCGCGGGCGCTTGCATAAATAAACTTATGATCGTAATTGACTAATTATATTATACGAGACCCCTAGTGTTAACGTTAGATTAGCAGGACTCTTTTTTAAGTTTATTATCTATACTACTGACTACTGTCTACATGATTGCATTTAGTGGGCGTCGGCAGCCAGTCGGTCGTTACTATATAGTCGGTTCTAAAGTTATTTTAAATCAATGCAGGTATTATTAATATAAAGACCTTGTATTTATACTAGATTATATTATGATATAAATGTAATTATCGAACGCATATTATCGTAAATAAATCGCACGGGCTTTACAGTTAATTGTAACATTAATTATAAAAACTTAGGGCAAGTCGTTATTTATTTCTGTTTTAATTAAAATTTTGATGTTGATTATTTTTTAAACTATATAATTTTTTTTCATTATAGTGAATAAAGTACATAATTCTCGATCGATTAGATTACAAAATTGTTAGGTGAACTATCGACTGATGTACAATATAAATAATGGTTACTTACGGCAATATATAAGTTTTACTTTACGGCCACTACGGGCGCTGTATTTATAATATAATTTCTTATAAAATGTAATTAATCGGGAGCGTGCGAGTCGTGCGCGATGTAAGCAGTAAGACTATTATTATCTAGATTTGTTCTAATGTTGTAATGTAATTAGCCCTAAGCGCGGCGGGCGGCGCGAGGGCGGGCGGCCCGCCCGCCCCCGCGCCGCCCAGCCGCTTTATATAAAAAGGAAAATTATGATAGACTTACACGTGCGTCCTTGTTGTTTCTTTTTTTAATTAAATACCTAATGATAATTAGTTAATTACGGTTTTAAACAATAATTTTTAAAGCACTAAAATATTAAGACGAGAAGCTTATATGCGTTAAATATTCGATGTAATTCAAAGTGCTATCACAGATATAACACTTAAGGTTTTCGAAGTAGAAATTATGCATTATTCATATTAGGTATTTTGGGTATATATTAGAGTTAGTTTTAACTGGTAATATAAGTATGTAGTTTGTAATGTAATGGAAAAATAAACAGTTTGTCGTAGTTTCCTATTATTAAGCTTCTTCTATCTTAATGGTTTAAGTAATACTACTGGTTGAATAATTAAAAATATTAATATTACCACTGCAAATATTTGAGATATCTTATGATGAAATATATATCTACTTTAAGGACATTATAAAACGTAGATAATTAAAAGAAATCAAAAATTTCAAAATAAATCTGGCATTTTTAATGGTTGCCCCTCATCCCATAGAGTAGTGATCCCCGTCAGGTATCGAAGTTATCATAATTTTTGTTTTTATATACATTGTATATAAATTAATTGTCCCATAATAGTCTTACACTACCTACTAATGAGCAATGGAACGCGAAACGGTCCGCTTCCATTAGTTATGTTTTCATTCACACACCTCACACTGTCTTTATTCATTGTTTTTTTTTTATTTCTTTATGCATGCATTAACACTATCTCACGCGGTAAAGTATTATTTTTCAATACTAACCTTTCTTGTGTATTATATTTATTCTTCAAATAAATATATATATTTTATTAAATTAAATACTCAGTTTAATCAAGACATGATGCAAAGATACTTAGTAATTTTTCAAGAAATATTTTTGTTTGTCGTACATAATGAGTAGCGTGTAGCGATTTCAGTTAAAATAGATGTACTAACACTCCAGAGGGCGATGGTGTAGGCAGCATCGCGGGGAGTCCCAAGTTTGCCGCGGTGCCCACGTTAAATGACGCGATCCCAACACCGCCACAGGTTCCGATTGTAGATTTATATATCAATATATTAACGTTTTTTTTACCGATATAACATTATTATTATTATATTTTACGCGTTTATAGTAGCCATATCATTTGCAATTCATAAAAATGATCATAATATTTTATAGTTTATTATAGATCTTGAGAGTAGTTAAAAATAAAGTAAATTTTATAAATGTTCAGAGAACACATTGTGCGCATAAATAGTAAATGAACGTAAAAACACAGGTGCCAATGATGTTCTGCCCCGGCATGGTGTCGCCACAGCCCTCTTACTGTAATGTATCGGATATATCGGCTGCAGCGTCAGGTTATAAAAAGTCTTTAAAATCACACTACATTCAAAGTTAGCCGTTGTGAGACAGTAGCGCTAGAACTAGCAAGATTATTTGGTACAGGCCTAGAGATCCCCTAACACATAGTATAAATATAACACATCCATTATGTTGGTAAATTATGTTTTGTGCTAACCATCTGTAACTTCCGATTGTAGAAATAATTTAGAAAACATTCATAGTAGAGGTTGTACTTACATTATTTAATATACTATAATAGATCATCATTTATATTGAATATCATAGTAATTTAATTAATTAAATTAATCGATACAAATTTGTATCTAGAGGTAGTCGGATTTACAGATACTTTGCAACACGAAGTGTAATTTACCAATGGTCTTTTATATTTCTAATTCGTTGGGTGAGTGGAGAGAGGTGCGTGGTGCGGTAAGTTTTGTTTTTTTTTAATTTAATAGTATTTTAGAATATTATTGTGATTGCTTGAATATATTGCTGTTTCTAATACATATATTTTTCACGTCATTAACGTAGGTATATATTTAGGTGACGATTACGAGTATACGGGGGGTTCCGGAGACGGGTATCAGAAGCCATCGAAACGCCATCACGGCTCATCCGGCAACGGCAACGCATCTGCGCCATCTTACCATCCCTATCGGCGTTAATGAGTAGCTCTCTCGTAAATTGTCCTTTTTGATAGATAACGTTCAGCTCGGATACAGCCTTTCTACACAATTTATAAACCAAAATAAACTAGGTCATTTCTAACCTGTACACTACTAGTAGCAACAATGAATTAAACTTTTTAACTAGGCTCACCTCCAGAGCTTTAAACTGATCGATCTAAGCAGATATAATAATACCCAGTAAAAGGGTTGTCGATTTTAGTTAATATACATACCTGTAAAATATGTACCTTTTCTATGAAAGCAATCATTGAGTTTGTAAATGATTTTTTTACGGTGACGAGTCTATAAGAATCGATAACGATTTTGCGTTTGTAAAACAGCATCGATTGAATAATCGATTTCTTATACACTTTTATCGATTTCTAGAATCGTAGTAATAATAATCGATTTCTTATACACTTACACCCGTCTAATTAAGTTGTTAGAGTAGTTTTTTTTTCTTTTAGACGTATTTCATATTATGTGGACGGTCGGTTTCAATAGAAACGTTGAAATTTATTAGTTGTAACTGTCTATAATAGTGTAAGTTCTCTTGAACGAACTGTTAACTTTAAGCAATAAGGTAAGTTTCCCCAATAAGGTCATGTTCCTAATGAGATCTATCTTTTCAAATTTCTCGCGCCAAAAAATAATAATAAACTTCTCAAAGCATTGTTTTGCACAACGATTTCATTTCGGATTAGTACAATTTACATCCTCAATACGTTTTATAAATGGAAACACCAAAATCGATTTATATGTATATATCTTTACACAGTATAAAATAAAGTCGCTTCCGCTGTGTGTTCGCTTTTATCTTTTAAACTACTCCACGGATTTTAATGTAGTTTTCGGCAATAGATACCGAGTGATTCAAGAGGAAGGCTTATAATATGTACTATAATATAATACATGCATATTATAATACAGAAAAGCCAAGAAATTCAATGACTTGTAACGTACACGTGACGTAATAATGTGGTCCCTATTAGGGAAACTTACCTTAGAATTCTGTAATATGACTGAATGAGATACCTCTCGGCCGTAATGACAAGTTTCTACATTGTAGGTATATTCTATTGGCGACGATTGGATTTTATTAATGGCTGCTTTTAGAACAGTTTCTTCAATTTGTTAACAGTTTGAATTATTCCATCGTTTTGAATAATTTGTTCCTTTATAGTGATAAAATAAAGATTAAATAGTGACTTGAGAATCTGATCACCTCCAATAGCATGTAACCTATAATTATTATATATCAATTAATTTGATATAGATATTGGGAAATTGACAAGTATTTTCATATTATAATCTATTTTCACAACCATTCTACGGTTGCTCTTTACAAATTTAAGGTCGTATTATCAAAGTTTATAATAGATATAGGTTTAAGAATTCATATGAAATTACGTCCATATAAAAGTTTCTATCCAGTAATACCTCTTTATAACTTAACCAGTGTTTTCAAATTTTTAAAGTGTTGCCAGGTGTCTAAGAATATAATAATATTAGCATGCATGTTGGTTACTGACAGTATTGTTCAATGAACATATTTTTTTTCATAAATAGCTTATTTTTTTTTAAATATTGTGTGAGTTTCCTATTTGACTAATCTTTATCTATAAATAATTTGCTGATATCTCTCATCTGGTAACACTGTTGTTGTATTATATAAGTTTTGAAACCTGCATTTATTCATTTTAAGTGTATCATATTATACGGTCGTTACGGTTAGTAAGTTAATATTTTAAACTCCCACACCATAATGTATATTTTATAAATATTTTTTGCGTCCATTTGAGAGATCTTTGAATAAGCGACGTCGGTAAAATTGATATTTTTTTAATAACTTTTTCATTTCTCGTTTTCAGTGGAGTTGTATAACAATTTTTCATTTGAGGTAAATTGAAGATTAAAAGATAAATTACTATTTCTGTGTACAGAATATTATCGACGCATATCATTGAATTCAGACGTGTGCAAGTTTTGTATAGGTAGGTATTGTAAAATCTTTCATATTTTTGTTTGCGGTCCTTCCATTGAAACATGTTCCACTTACCACCTGACATCTGTATTTCTGTTTACTTTTAATAAAAATACTAATAATTTTAAGTTTTATTTAAATTCACGTACAGACTTGTCTCGAGCTGTCCACAAGGATGCGAATATTTGATTTATCTCTTACATAGAATGTTCTAGTTAGTGATACAATACAATATGTTTTTTTTTATATTAAGAATATTTAATTTTTTAAACATTTTAAATACTTATAAAATATTGTTCTAAAATTTTTGACGTTTGGTAAGTACAATAGAAAATAGATAAATCATGTAATAATTATAATTTACATAGCGATGTAATTTATTTTAATAGCTTATAGTATGTACATTGTGTTGTATTATATCGGTTTAAATTAAATCTTAAACACGTTTAAGACAAAACATACTTCTAAATCATATATTATATTATAGGCTCATATTAGATTTAAAATTAAGCGGTCCGCTATTTGAATTGGAAAGGAACTATCTAAAGACCTATTTTTAATATTATTAAATTATTTTAGACGAATATTGCATTTATTTACATTTAAAAAGCGCTAAAAATGTATGTAGGTATGTAATGAATCTTTGAATGGCTCCTTTCAAATACTTATCATACATAGTTATTACGTCGACTAGGTCTATGATATAATAAAAAATACAGCCACATATCTTTACCTCGTCATATATTTTAATATTGATTATGCTATTTTTTATAAATGTTTTTGGGTTAGCTCTAGATTACGGAAAATCACAATGTTGATAATATCTCAATAAATTATGTGTAAAAGTCACATTTTACATTATTTCTATTAATAAGGCTTATTCTATAAATAAATAGTGGTAGCGTTACAAATGGACAGATATATAATTTGACAGCGATTTAAATATCTAATTGGGTTTGGTGGGCATGAATATATTTGTTTTTACTATACTGAAGCTTTATATGTAAATGAGATCTTAGAATTGGGTTCATTTGTCCAGGCAATATGGTGAAATTTACTAATAAAAGTCAAAGTGTTCTAAATTTAGTAAAGTACTTACAGTTCGTTGACCTCGTTAATGTTAAGGGTTTGGCGACCCCTAAACAATCTGCCTGTTGCCTTGTAAGAAGAGTAACGCATGCCAGTTTCTCAAAAATATCTTCTTACTATAAAATTTGAAAATATTATTTCCCATATATTTGTTTGTAGCAGCAAACTTTAATTTGATCAAATGAGTGGTCTTTTTCTCGACATTTTACTGTATTGAGATTATGTATTAACTATTTTTAATAAGGTGGCTAAGATTAGGCATTTCCTGATGCCCTTTTAATTTAACCTTTTAAAGTGTAAAATATATCAAATTAGAACTCTCCTTGACCTCTGCAGTTGAAACTTGACCTTTATATTATAAAGGCATACATTATTGATTGGGCTAACTCTAACAAAAACTTAGTACCTACGTTTAACGTCATATTGTTATAATATCATGCTCCAGCGCTATAAATGAAAAACAAAATTAATCTCATCATAAAGATTTTATTATTTCTAAATAACCTTAATACAAGAAAGTATTTGTGCTAGCTCTTTTAAAAAATTAAATAAACATAGTATGTATGGTTTTGACACAACAAAATCGAAAGTGCATAATATTTAACACCATTCACACAAAGAAAGACAATAGCATTCCCAAGGAGTGTTGACGTCAGGCAGGCGGCCGGTCGTAAAACTTTTGCCAAATCCTATCAGCAGTACACTGAAGATGTACTGCGCCGACCCCAAGTGATTTGGGAAATGGGCAGGGAGAAGAAGAGAAGAAGTATGTATGGTTTTGTCGTCTTCTAAGTAATGGCTACAATTTAAAATGATAAATTAGGTATAGATTTTTTAACAATTTAGAAGGCACTGGTATATGTGATATTATGTTGGAGGAAATTTTTTAATTTGTATGTTTGAGAAGGTCATTACCGCTCTGATTTAAAATCATCTATATGGAAATTATATTCCTTTACAGATACTTAAACATTACAATAGACAAAATAAATATAATCTAATTCGATGAATATGACAAAAGACAGTTTATAATTATTATTTTTGATCAACAGCAAAATAGTACGCAGTAGGTGCTAAAAGCGATTTTAGCGCACGCGCAGTTCATTTGTCTGTTTAAATATAATTGTTGATTTTTTTAAATATATTAATATTATAAAAAATCTAAATATTCAATCAAATGGTATTTTAGTATTAAAAATTAAGATTTTATTTACTGTATTCTAAAAAAAATTTACATAATATATTTATGCTAAAAGTTATGAAATATACCTATTTACAATTATTGTAGCAAAATCGTGCTCAAGCAACGGACCTATTTGGATTTAATATTGATTCCGCTCTACCAATTGTAGCGAACTTCAGTGGTGCGGATTTACGAGAAAGTAAGTGTCTGTTTGGATTTAGCTAAAAGATAGATAACTTAAAGAAAATCATCCAATTCTTTATTTAATGGCTTTAATGCGTACCAGTTAAATACAAATTATTTCGCCAATGTCACGTTGAATGGAGGACCCTATTTAAAAATAAATATTTATTGGTAGCTATGTGGCTTTTGTCGTTTTTGATAGGATTCTATGGGAGTTTTTCAACAGGGGATTCACGTTCGAGACAGAAAATCATATTGATGTACAAAATAAAGAGTATTGCTGCTAAGTCAAGTGAATGTACTGAAACTTGACACGTCACGACTCACGAATGGGGATTGGGGATATGAAGAATATAAAACATAGTTCTAATAAATGTCAATAGATGGCGTAGTATGTATGGATTGTATGTTCAAACAAATGAAATTTAATATAGGTAGAAAGAGATTCTAGAAACGAACATCCTTATTTTAAAGAAGTTAACAAAGCAAAGTAAAATAAGTGGTTCTTATATTGACATTTTATATTTTACTGATCGTATAATATTATCTAAGTTATTAGGTAATGATTTTGTACTGTGTATTCATAGATGGCGTTGTTTGCATTTACGAGCTTTTTTGCTATAGTTTAATATTATATAAGATAGGTATGTTCATTTTTAATTTTGTTTTGAATAACCGTCATCTATCATCTATTCATACAAAAGAAAATAAACATATTATGAATAAGATATTTATTTCGAACGACGTTTTATTGAAACTTATGCTTTATTTGTATCAAACTCCTAATAATAATAATTTTGAGAAACACACCTACCCCCAATAAAATGTCAAATAATACAAATTAAATGCCACAACGTTCATATCTGTTGCTTGCATACTAGTGCTTGCGAGTGGAGAGAATGGAGAGGACTGCGCCTGTATAAAGTTGAAGCTCGTAACAAAAGTAATTATTAGTAATATAGTTTTAAATAAATATAGAAGCCACCCCTATCCAAGGGTCCATCGGTAAGGGGTCTATTTCCGTAGCCGGTGGTAGCGTGCGGCGGGCGCGGCGGTGGGCACGGGCCGCGCGCCGGGTCAGGGCGCCGGCGCCGCGCGCGACGCGCAGTTGGCGCACGCGCACCGCGCGGCCCGCCGGCCCCGCGCCCCCCGAGCCCGCGCCGCCCGCGTGCGCCTGGGACGCGCGGTAGCACAACTCGCGGTAGCGTGCGCAGCCTGGTGGTGGGGTTTTAGGCAAAAGATAAATTATATCTATACAGATAAATAAAATTAAAGTATCTGTTTGTAATGTCAAAATAACAGCGTTATGCTAAATGCATATGACATTATTTATGGTACATATTAAGAAAAACACTTTTTTTAATTTTTGTCTGTCTGTCTGTTCCGGATAATCTCTGAAACGGAGATATTTTGACGAGACTTTCACTGGAAGATAGCTGATGTTATAGGAAGTAACATAGGTTAATTTTATTTTAGAAAAATAATTAGGGTTCCGCTTATAAAAAGTAAAACGTACCTAGGGACGAACCCGAGCGAAGCGAGGGTGAGTCGCTAGTATTATGATGTATATGTGAGATGAGATGAGACATAATAGGTATAATAAAGATAATTTAAAAATGAACGTTATTTAACTATATTCATGTTTAAGTAAAGATAAGTACTAAAAATAAAGAGATTATGTAGTGTGCTAAATAAGAAAAGTTTTTTTTAATTGGACTTTGATAATTTAACTAAATAATTTTTAGAATGGAGAAGACTGTGTTTAGTTTTTAGAACTCTGAAACTGGCTTAGGTATTAAATTATATACGACTTTTTTTTTAATTTTCATTTACTAAATACAGAATTCATTTGAAATATATTAAGAAATAAAAAAAATAATCTTGTATTTTGCATCTGTAATTAGAAATCGAAATAATTGAATAGGGACGGCATTCTAAAAAAACCAAGTATTGATAATGTTTTATTAAACGGCAACAAAATAATGACATACCAGTTGGCGGCAAGGCGAGCCGCGTGTCGGCCGCGAAGCCGCGCTGCGCGAGTCTGTCTAGGAGCGTGGTCGCTGACCATCACCTTTCACTGTCTCCTTCACCTTCAAATCAGAAATTTTAAAACTAAAATAAAATACTTATATTGTTTAGAAATCGATAATACATTTATCGACCCTAGGAAGGTACTTGACAAGAATCTTATGAACTTCAAGTCATACATCACCTATAGTTATACTAAATTTCATTCAAATTCGCCCAGCCGTTTCAATGTTAAGAAATAGAAAACATACATACACATTAGTGATGCAACGAATACGAATATTCGTATTGGCCGAATAGTAGGTATTTACCGAATATTCGTATTCGCCGAATATCATCACGAATATTAAAAACAAAATATTTATTACTGAACGCAACCTAAATTACGTTTTGGCTGGCACCGTATATCCGAACGCACCTACGCACTATCTAATTCTATGTACTGTTGACGAGGATTACCCTAACATAGAATGAAAGGAGTTTTTGAGTTCTCAAGTTGACAATTGTTACTTGTTTCATAATAAAAGAAATCACCTAATGCCTGAGAAATTACAAATGTTGTGTTTTTTAAATAAAAAATTGCCAGTAGTTAATTTCAATTAGTAAAATAGAATAGAGTGTAATATTTATTGCCTTGTTGAATTATTCGTATTCGCTGAATAGTAGATTTGATATTCGTATTCGTTAAAGTACTCGTATTGATTGCATCACTGATACACATAGTTTTTAATATTTATAAATTCCGACGAGTATGTAAGTATGACCTATAACAGATCAAAGGCAACTGGCATTAACAAATTGCAAATTATTTATTGCTAATTCCATTCTCTTATAGAGCACCTAGTGTTTGTTACTAAAAAAAATATATGTAATGATGTAAGTATATAGCTACCACTTTCACTTTTGCGCGCCATTTTTCTAAAAATCTCGTAAGTTAACATTTTTTTTAATTCAATTAAAAAGATTATTGGCGATTTATTTGATATCGATAATATAATACTTATTAAAATTATTTTTAAAATATATTTTTCACGAATACATTCTTAGTTTTACGACAGTTTTTTTATGTGAATATATTTGGATAAGTACATATTTAATGTTTCATTTTAATGGAAGACCTTTTTATGAAGATTACCTAAGTCTAACCAGATATTTTGATTGTCCCAACGTTAGTTTTAAGTTAAACGACTGATTTATTATACTGGCCTTGTATGTAGCCATGTTCCTTGCAAGGCCATTTGGAGGTTTATAAAACTTAAATTTAATAAATAATAATTATTAAGTCTGCAATAAAATAAAAGGTTTTATAAGTTACATAATAAACATTTATCCAATAAATAAAAGAAAAATAACTGTTTATATGTAGAGAGGCTTTTTATGGTCTTTAGATTATTTCGATAAATTGGTCCAACACTCCACTGCACTAAGGCCAATCAAATAAATGCGCTTGATGCTCGAGTCTTATTTCTTATTTGAGTCTTATTTGCGAGTATTCAACTAAAAGATCTGTCTAGTTTATTGGCATGAGATTGTCCTAGAACCTAGTGGGGTAGTATTACCCATAGGTTCTTTAATTAGGCAAATTGCGTGGTTGCAGCATAAAAGCTGCAGTTTCAAACTGAATAAACATTAACTGACATTATTAAATAGGATACCTAATATTTATCTACATAATATATTTTAATCTCTGCCATATATGTACGTAACATAGGTTGTATCGTTGTTCCATAAGTAGTTCAATGCTTTTTTTTTATTATCCAAACTAGCGTTTTACACTTGCTTCGCTCGGGTTCGTCCCTAAGTGTGTTTTAACGGTTGGTATGGAATAGATAGACAATATAATAAATAGTCTACAGCCTTCCTCAATAAAGATACTATCTAACGCAAAAATAATTTTTCAAATCGGATCAGTAGTTCCTGAGATTAGCACGTTCAAACAAACAAACTCTGCCTCTGTTTAATTTTAGTATAGATAAATGTGAAGCAATATTTTTCGTTTCATTATTATTTTATTACGAATATTAAATTAAAAAACATTGTTGTGATTCATGATGGAAATTAGATTGAACTAATGGCAACGCTACTTCCTACGACGTAAGAGCAATAAGGCATAAAGTGAACTAATCGAATCAGTGGCGCTAAGTAGACATTTCTACCAACATAATTATTTATAGGTACCTACTTAGCATAGACCTGTTCTATACTTAAGAGAGTATTTATTTGACGACACATTTGGCTCAGTTTGTAGCGACCCTATTTGCTGTGCTAGCGATCGCGGGTTCGAGTCCCGCTGGGGGCGTTCATTTGTGTGATGAGCACGAATGTTTATACTCCAGTCATGGGTGTATATATTTATAATATGTATGTATTTAAAGTTATATAGATATATGTAGTGTATCAACTATCTGGTATCCATAACACAAGCCCGAAGCTTACCATGGAACTAGATGGCACTGTGTGTTAATGTCCCGATATAATTATTTATAGTTATCATTTAGGTATGTATGTTGTAGGTACATACGTAAATTGAATTTTAAGAGAATAAAAAAGTTTTTATCCGACTGCGGCGAAGCACAAAGGAGGGTTATGTTTTTGGCCTGTATGTACATATGTTGTTAGATTTGTCTTAATAACCTGAGTGTCATAGGCTATATACAAACAATTACAATTCAAAATTTGTCTGTCTTTAAAAACATTTTTTCCTCCAAACCTATCGTGTGAGGTATAAAAATAAAAGTTTTTAAGAGGTTATCACAAATTGATATATCCAGTACATAAGTATGTTTAAAAGTAATTCGGGATAAGAAATAGCTAAATAAAATTCCAAATGGCAAAATATTTACAAAAAAAGCCGACTGCATTAAAAGCGGACTAAAAATGGTGCTGGGAACAAGTTAACGAAGGAATATAGCACTATGCAGTCGCAGACATACATACAAGTAGCCAGACTCGCAGCAAGAATAAAACATGTAAACAATAAATTAGATAAGTACTTTGTATCTGTATGTTTGTTAATGAAAACAATATATCCCAACACCATATGTTCACCAAAGATATATTAATTTATAATATATAATATAATTCAATTATACGACTACATTAACGGTTGACCAGATTTAAATAAAGCTTTTTAATAAAACATAGACGCATCGTTCTTGAGTTAACACATTGATAGGATTACTTTTTATCCCGATAATGAAACCCAAATAGAAATAATTGTTGAAATTATTTTTCATTTCCGATAAACTTTTTTATTTTATTTTAAAGGACTGCTGTTGAGTTAGATCGCGCTTTGGCTTCGTTACTATTTTATCTTAACTTAGAAGCGGCCCGCTATTAATAAAAATGTAGTATATATTAGATAATAATGTCTAAGTACTACATTTATATTATTAGTGGGATAAAACATTTACGTAAAAACACAAAACACATTCAATCTTTCTCTCAAAAATGTTGGTAGGATTGGTCTTTTGATATTCCACATCGGATTCGCTGTCTGAAGCATTGCTTTGAGTATTCTTACATTATTGAGTAGGTATGAGTCATCCTGAATCCTTCTAATCTTACTAATTTTATAAATAACTAGTTGGTAGAAAATGATAGGTATCGCTTGAAAAACTTTTTAAAAGCATCTGCGGCCGAAAGCGGATTGCCTATAAATCGTAAACATTAAAAAAATGCTCTATTCACATACATAATTGTGATTAGTTACGTGTATCAATTGTTCCTATTGTTTGTCACATAATTTATATAATGAAACTATCTTTTCGGATTTTTTTGCGGATTTATTTGGATTTTGGACGAAGGTAGCTTCGAGATATCTAACAACTCAGTCTCTCCCGTAACCATGATTGCTGTACATTCATTCGAAACGTCGGGAACCAAAAATCAAAATAAATTCGCGAAAAAATCCGAAAAGATAGTTTTATTTAAAATGTCAAATATTCGCGTAAATCTAAGAAAGTATTATTCTATAATGAATTTTAGTTCCTTCACTGGACACAGACAGCAGTGAAAGGAAATAAAGAAAAATTAAAGACGACGCTTTCCTGTGATTTCTTACACAAAAGTTTCAAATAATCATTATGACGTTACTCATTTGTATTTTCGTAGCTCTATTACTCACCTAATTTAATATATAAACAACATACTATGTTAATTTATAATATCATACACAATTTTAACCAAAATTATAATATTGGATATATCTAAAATCACTTTAATATAAACTTTGAATAATTTAAAAAAACAATATTATAAAAGTTACGTACAAAAGAATTAGGTACCTTCGTTAGCAGCGGGGGAGTGTCCGCCGGACTTGTCCTCGTTGCGTGGGGTCGTCGACCCGTCTGAGTGCTCCTGAAATTATATATCTACATTCATTTGTCAGGACTAAGTTATAGGACCAACATGGCTTGTTGGTTAGAAAGCTAAACAGCATTTTTTTAAAAATTTTTGACCGAGCGAACGAAGCGTCTCTGCTTCAAGTCTGGTAAAATTTACTGTCCTCTGTCGGTTTGTTAAAAACATCTTCTGACAATGAAACATGGTATACAGGTTTTAGGACTTTATAGTTTTGTTTTGGCTGTCAAGGAATTTTGATTGGAGGAGTACTTCCTCCATAAGGAGCAAAATGGGGGCTACTGGATACCCCCGCCTTATAAGATCCGATTTTGATGGTTCTTTTTTTGGTTGAAAGGTCTCATAAAAATTTGGTGAAAATCTGATGAGGAACTTCGGCGTGATGAGCAGAATAAATTGTTGTAAAAAAGTGTGTGCTCGCGAGGTCTACAACGTAATTAAAATTAATAATATTTTAAAATAAGTGAATATTAAAAATTCTTTAAAAAATATTGCATGTTTAATTTACCTTAACTTAAGATATAACCTCAGCAGCTCGAAGACTAATAATAATTTAATGAGCAGTTAACATAAAATAGGTCAAAAGCGTTTCAGAAGCATCGCTAACTAAGTAGTCCATTATTTATTGAATTTATCCCGGAGTCGAGTCTAGTCGAGTCGTACGGCTAACGAAGTAACAAATGCAATAAAGCACCAGCCACAAGCTGGTAATTGATATTGATGACAAGAAATTGACGTTGTTGAAAAGTTTTCACACACAGGATGTGAAACCGTAAATTGTAAACAACGTATGCTGTTGAAAGTTTAGAATTTGAAGGTTTTAAAAGTTGCTATAAACGTGTAGTAGAGCAATGAAAGTGAAATTTAAGAGTTTGTTTAGCTTAGGAGGATTATTTACAATAGTTCAATGAAACTTCAAAAAGATTTAATACAAAAAACAAAAAAAGGAAATATAAGACATCGTATTTCATTCCTTATTTTTGATTTACGCGAATATATTGAATTTATTTACTAAATAATAGTTCGGATATTTTTCCATGAGGAACCAAAAAAAAAAAATCCGTAAAAACTACATATATTACGTTTTATATTTTATCTTTTTTTTATAAATTTAAGTAAAAGAACAAAGCCACGTGTCATTAATTCAAAATACCTAATTTCTAAAAAATACGGCGAAAATTTACTAAACCTTAATTATATTTTCATATGAACAAGTATTAAAATTTTCCGTGCTGGTGTAAACCATAATGAGGACTTACTGTGTTGATTTTCCTCCGTTACGTAGGAGTTTGAAGATATTATGTAAAACCTTATACCACAGATCATATAATACTATACTAGTATATATATTAATACATAGATCGAGAAGTGAACTGTATATTATACATACTAGCAACTCACCCACGACCTAGTCGGACGTTTTAACGTTTAGTATGGATTTTTCAGAGATGAGATATTTTCCCGTAGTAAAAAGTATTCTATAAGTTGACCGGAAAACCAGCTATCATCATACCAAATTTCATCAAAATCTGTCCAGTGGTTTTCCCAGGCAGACGGTCCAAAATTTTATTATATGTATAGATTTTACTTAAAAAAATATTAAACTTATTTACTGACTCGTCGACATACAACGAACACTTTTGTTTATAAGCGAATGTTAATTTCATCATTGCTTTTTATGAGCATCACCATAAGAAATAATAGAGGAAGGAATAAAATTGTACGGTACGGTTGGTACTGGTGTAACGTTGTAGTTGTTCGTATATAAACAATATTAATCTATATCATATATAAAGAAAAAAATAAATAAATAGGCAATGCTCTTTAGGCTATTGTTTATATTATAGTAGGAGCTTATAAATATAACTGAGTTGTCTAATCTCCCATACAACTGGGAAGAAGGCCTGTTTTCTATACTTATATTATAAAGGGGAAAGATCTTTTGTTTGTTTGTACCGAATAAACTCCGAAACTACCAATATTTTATCTAAATCGATTTAGGGATTTAGATAAAATTTGGTAAGAGGATAGTTCGAGACCCTGGGAAGGACATAGGATACTTTTTATCCCGGACAAAGAGTCGCTAGTAATAGGTAGGTATATAAAACTATGACATTTGTACTGCTGTGATTTATAACAATATGCAATAAGCAAATTATATAGTAACTCAATGGATTGTCAGGAAGTTCCAAATCAAAACCGGAAGTTAATTGGGAAAAAAATTATCGAAACATACAAAAAATGAGGCGGATGTGAGCTAAATTCCGGTAAAGTCAATTCGAAAATAAAATATGGTGACTTAAACGAGAGCGCGTACTAGGTATGGAACCAAAAATAAGAACAATAAAGTATAAGTCCATAGAGTTACGGTATTTGGGACCCTCTTTGATAGGAAAATGTAATTACGATTAACGGCAACTCGGTACCTTAACTAAGTTATTCAACAAATAATTTCAAAATTATTAGCTAATACTCGTTCATAATCGGATTATTATTATAAACGCGAAAGTTTGTATGTTTATTGTGTACCTATGTTTGTTGCTCCTTCACGTGGAAATGACTGAAGGGATTTAGAATAATAGACATGTGTATACTGATATAACCGATGAGTGATAGAGAGAGACTATCTTTTTCAGACTCTCTCTCTCTCTTTCTCTCATTCTCTCTTTCACGCACTCTCTCTCTATCTATCTCATTGTTAGCTTCCTAGGGACGCACCAGAGCCAAGCGAGGGTAAGCCCGGTAGTAAGTCATGTTTAAGCAATCACTTGCCCAGACTTAGAAAACCAAAGCCAGCATGGTAAACATAAAATATAATTTAATTAATACGTGAAGCAAAAACTTTGTACCCCTTTTTACGAACATTGCGCGGAAGGAGAAGTATGAAATTTCCCACACTTATAGTTTATATAGAAACAGAGTGCAGAATGCTAATATTTGTTTTTAAATAATGCATAAAAATACATTAAATCAATAAAAAAAAACATTACACACACAACCATGTATTTGACACACACACGCATATACACACTCTTTTGTTTATTGTTAAAGTCTGTGGTTAAATTGAGAATAGAACCTCAATATCGATCAAACTTGAGGAATTATGGTTGATTTTCAACCACGTAGCGATCACCAGTATAATTTAACATGTGATAACTGATAGAATATGTATTCTAACAGTAAGTACTTACAAAAGCTAATAATAACCAGTGTCAATCGACCGGAGCAAACAGACGAGTTTAGCCAATCTCATCTCTAAACATCATTAACTTGTCACTCGCTATTTGCGTTGTTGAACGCGGGAATTCAGACATAATTGAATTAGGGATTTAACAAATGGATTTACGCTTCAATGAAATGCGCAAATGTAATGTAGGAGAAACAAAAAAATCTAAGAAACGAGTGTAATATATTTGTTTTTATATTTTATTCCTCAATGCTAAAGGATGTCTGTGAAAGGATGAGAGCAATCTTTTAGTAGATTGAACAGTTCTTTAAGCAGATTAATATATAAGTACTTACTTAATTCACCTAACACACTTATAAAATGTAAGGCAAATATAAAAAATACGATCTAACCTGATCTGATGAATGAGCTGTGACTTGTGTCTACAAAGTTACAATATCCGATGCTATTAGATAGATGAATCATGAATTATGAAGGCTTTGTAAGGATTCAAAGCTATTTACTAGATAATGAGAAGCTGCAATTTTAGATGAGTGTATTCCGTTTGTAACACTTTCAATAGTTAGATTTTCATTTTATTTTGATAAATGAGTAAGTTTTAGAAAAAGACAAGTTACTAAAAGGCAACACACCTAAAGTGTTACATAGTTAATCCCATCAAAAACATTCTGTAAAAATATTGCAAGTCTCGCAACGCATTTCTTCTACCTCAAAAAGCTATGAGATGTAATGTAAAACCAAGTCGGTTAATTTATTCATTACCTATCTATGAAAGCATCTATCCGACAACTTTGTCATAAATCGTTACCGAATTAGTTAAGTTACAACATTTTATAGTGACCGTATTAATATTAGATATATTTATTTCTTTAATTAATAGAATGACTTGGCCATCGCACGGAAACATAATCACATAAGAGTCTACTACTTTAAATAGTCCTAATTAAACATACCAGGACCAAGGTGGACGGACGACTTGGTCAAAGTCTGGAGCCCACTGGATGCGGATGGCACAAGACTGGTTGTCGTGGAACTTTTTGGGGGAGGCCTATGTCCAGCTGTGGACGTGTTTGAGCTGAGATGAACTGAACATAGCACTAGCGGGTCAAATTTATGCATACACTAACATAAAAAATGCACTCAGAACGCTAATTTTAGGTAAATTTTGTTATTTGTAGATTCTATTATCATGTGCGATGGCCAAGTCATTCTATTAATTAAAGAAATAAATATATCTAATATTAATACGGTCACTATAAAATGTTGTAACTTAACTAATTCGGTAACGATTTATGACAAAGTTGTCGGATAGATGCTTTCATAGATAGGTAATGAATAAATTAACCGACTTGGTTTTACATTACATCTCATAGCTTTTTGAGGTAGAAGAAATGCGTTGCGAGACTTGCAATATTTTTACAGAATGTTTTTGATGGGATCTCATTTCTTTTTGTAAATATTTCTCCTTTTTCTCTTTTCTTGTACTATTTCTTGTGTGTCAGCTAAGGACTTTTTAAAAGCCCACTCCTTGTCTCTGTGGGCTTTTTTCAGAGGCTTTGATATAGGTAACAAATTTTGACAAGTCTAAGTCTATTGTATTGGTATCAAAAATCTAAGTCTATTGTATTGGGAAATTACGGACTCCTGGACTTTAATACTACTATCTTATGCATTAAGAATAAATATGTATAGTTAATTTAACGAATATTTAAATTTCATTGTTGACCCTAAATACCTACCCCGATACTGATATTCGACTTACATAAGTTTAATAAGATGTGTAGATTTATGTGTCTATCTGCAGCATCGTAGTTAAATCCCGAAAGTTGTATTCCATTCCATTTTAAAAGTAATTTTCGAAGAGATTGATATTTCATGACCTCTATATTCCATGTTCTAATAGGTGGGTACAATTACGAGCAATGAGATGTTGAGAAGGTTTTCTAATTCATATCAACATCATACTTTGTAAAAAAAAATGTACGAGCTTTGTTTCAAAATTAAGTAATCGTCAAGTTGTTTCTTAATTAGGTATATATTTTAATCAATTCATTATAAATAACAGTAATCGAATATTAGTAGGTATAAACTATACACGCTTCACATTACATTTATGTACCCATTGTATATGCATAAAAATGTATAAAGCTACTAAAAAAGCTTAAAATATTATTTTCGCGTTTAAAAATACTTTTCTAATACATATAATTGCAAATATAAACATTAATAAATAGACCAATCGAAATTAGGTTAGTAATTACGAGGGAACATAGGATCGGACGTACAAACATACATACCTACAGGTAAAACACTAACCTAACCCCCTTTTACAGTGCAACTATTGTATAATTAATTTACCATTAATTATAAATTTTATAAGAATATATGAATGAGGTGAAAAAAATAAAAGTAAGATATCGGGAAATGAAAAAATAATATTTAATTTAAATAATGTAAGGAAAAAATAGTGTAAATTTAATTAAAATATTTTATGATTTTTAAACGAAATTTATATTTGACATAACGGCACAAATTAAGGCAAGCTATGATGAAGTTTATTTATATCAAAATATTTATATTATGTGCTATTTTATTGTGACCTATTATTTTAAAAAATACCTAAACCTTCTAGCGTTCCTTGACGTCGTTAAAGTGGCGAAATTGACTAACAAATTAAATACTTAGTGATAACAAACGGAACTCTGAGAAAGATATATTTTAAGTTGGATATTTAAGTTAATAAAATAATATATGAGTTATTCCTGTGTTTTTTTAACATGACTAAACTAAATATTGATAAATACATATTGGATGTATTAGTCAAGTAGAAGACAAACTAACGCTCCGAGGGCTCTGTACTTTTTTTTTATAGTTGGGAAATCCTATTACGGATACCACCCGAATTCCCCCGGGCGACTCTCGCTACGGAACACACGAGTGTTCGATTACTTGTATATTTTTTTTATATTTAAGATCTTTTATACATATAAGTTTTAATTTATATATTAAATATATTATGTCTTAAAACTCTTTACAATATTGATAATTACATTTTAGTCGTCGCTAACACTTACAGTATATCCACTATTTACCCTGCTATACATTTGGGTAGTTTAAGTGACGAAAAATGATATGTATGAACTGCAAAAATAACTTTGTAATCCCATATATCGCATATCTATTTGTATAGGAATACAAAGTTATTTATGCAGTTTGTATAACTCGAAAACAGGATTGAAATTGCATGATGTTTGAGTTTTTCCTTCCGTTATAGGCTAAACACTAATTGTGTTCAAAATTTGAAGCTCCTATGTCTGCTAGAAGTACCTTAGAATTTTGATGATCGGTGAGTGAGTGAGTGTGTGAGTGACGATATTAACGAATTTTGATCTGCAACAGTTCTTAAACTACAGGTTCAAATTGAATGTAATTTGGAAATATGCCTAGTTTTATTATGTTCTTTTAGTCACTGAAAATTCAGGCTTCTAGCTTTATCCATAACGAAGTTATGGGGGGGTGGAAAATGCTCTGAATCGCTTCGAGAAAAGGATGGTACTGTCGTGCCCTTTTTTGCTCGACTTGGCGGGGGCACTCCGTGCCCCCCGATATAAATAAAATTGGTTCAACACTATTATTTTTATAAGTAATTATTATTAGTCGTCTATTTTCAAATTTTTCTACTGAAGTGGTCGTAAAATATGAGTGATTTTTTATATTTGAATATTTACAATTTTATTCGTATCAACATACGACTGTATTATAAACATAATATATTATTACATAGTTCTAAGTTCCTTATACCTAATCCTGAATAAACACTCCTTGAAATCCGCAAATGCCTGAGGACAGGAAAATGGCCGGTTGAGTCAATTTTAACTAAAAGGGATGTAATGGGAAGTTGGAAGCTAATAAAATAAAAGATTGAAATAGTTTTTCTTGTAGAATCGCTTTTACTTGTCATTTGGTCAACATACGTGACGTTTAATGGCGCTCGCTTGTGAAACGGAGTGAAGCGGGTCCAAATTTTGGGTCTCGCATCTCTAATGTTTTCATGTGCGAATCTTAATAATCTTACGGAAAACATCGTGAGGAAACCTGCATGTCTGAGAGAACCTAGTAAGTTTTCGGAAGACATTTGAAGTTCGCCAACCCGCACCTGGCGAGCGTGGTGGACTATGGCCCGGTCCCCTTCGTATTGAAGAGAGGCCCGTGCCCAGCAGTGGGACATAAAAAAGGCTGAATAAATACATACAATACGTGACATTTCTTCTATCTATACCTACGTATCCAGTAGTAGTAGAAAGTAGTAAAGTTACTATAACCGTAATGGCATCATCAGGAAAGCGAAATATTACTACATATTAGGTTTAGTGATTATTTTAACACATATATATGCAGCGCCGGATTTACACTAGGGTCACTCGGGGCTAGTGCCCAGGGCGGCAAATGTTTAGGGGTGGCAAAATTCGGAGTGTAGGAAAAAAAATTTTCTTTGCGTTATCGATAATGCTTTTTTATTTTACTAAAAAATAAAAAGAGATTACCTAGTAGGTACATTTTTCGAAAAGTTGATATCATTTATAAATTATTTCTTTGCATTATTAAAAAAAAAAATAAAAAAAAAACTCTCAACATTATATTCAAAAGTTCGATAACAGGGCGGCATTTAAGTTTACTAAAGGTAAACTTGTCGACATATTCTCTCATATTCTAAAAAAATTGCCTCTTGGTTTTCTCCATCAAAACTTTAAATATTCAAACGAAAATAAATTTCGCGCGATATAAATATTCTGAAGTCAGGGCAGACGGGTCGATAGGTTATTGTGCACGTTATTATTTTCCATTTTACGTCCGTAATTGGATGGGTTAATTAGCCAACCTATTTGTCTGGAGAGTTTATGTTCAACAATTGTTAACGGGATTTTAAGATATAAGTTAATTAGAAAATAATATATGCTGCTTAAAGCATTTTGTGTGCCTATGTTATGTAGTAAATATACGGTAAATAATGTAAGGGATGATATTAAAATGAAAACTAGGTATAATGCAATAATATACTTACAATTGAGAATCTTTATATATTCGGGTAGGGTTTGTTACAACACTTATAACTCGAGAACTGCTGGACCGATTTTTATGATATTTGTTTTGTTGGATATGTCTTCACATCAAATAGCAGAATGACTATTAAAACATCGGAAAAATTCACGAAAAAAAATTAAAAAAAATCTATTCCATACTAAGCGTCACAACGTACCTGGGGACGGACCTGAGCGAAGCGAGGGCGAGTCGCTTGTAAAATATAAACTGAAGTGGAAATATTTATGAATATATCAGTGCTTAATTAATAAATTAACATAATTAATTAGCATAATATGGAGACTCTATATTAAAAAAATATGTTTGCCATCGCCTCCCAGCTATAACTAGCTACTTACGATCTATACGCGTCTATAGGTATATTTATTTTACTATCGCTAAAAATGAGCCCCGTTTTGTACGAAAGCACTCAATGAATGTTAGAAATAATGCTAGTGGGTATAAAACAAATAATAAATATATTATTAAAATTAGTTGACAACATTCGAAATCATTTTTGTAGATAAAAATTATGACGATGCCGATATGATCATAACATACACATCAAATATCTAGGTCATTTCATATCAAGAATTCGAAGAATATTCTGAATATTGATATTGTAAATTTATAAAAATTATGTAAAGCTAAACAAGTGCGAGTCGAACTCGCACGCGAAGGGTTCCGTACTATCGAACGTCTACTTTTTATTAATATGACTTTTACTCTATGTATGTACATAGTATATTAACTTCGATGATCGATTACGAACGTTAAAAAAAATGTTTATTGTATTTTTATTATATGTTGTTATATCGGCTGTAGAAATACATACTCTGTGAAAATTTCTACTCTCTACCTATTACGGTTCATGAGACAGCCCTCTGACAGACGGATGGACGGACGGACAGCGGAGGCTTAGTAATAGGGTTCCGTTGGCAACCTTCGGGTATGGAACCCAAAGAAGATATTTATTCCAAATACTAAATCCTAAAAAAAAATCATTAAATGTTATTTTAACCAACAACAACAAAATTGACTAGGAAATTCCGCATATCGTTAGTCAGGTAGTTCATTTCTCAAGAATACATACATAGATACTCGTATTATAGTTAAAAAACATAAGTAGATACAATATGTACAATTTGGTACAAAAAAATTAAGTTGTTATCATAACTAGTTAGTTGCCTCTGTTGCCGTACTAGGAGACCCTGTATTGTATATTGGTGTGCTGTAAACAGCACAAGACCCAGAAATAAACAAAAAACACCTAGAATTTTCAGTAAGAAGTCATACAATTAAGATTAAATAAACAACAACTCACATGCCGTTGATCGAGGTTCGCTGTAGCAGTCAGTAGATCCAATATCGCAGAGAAGGAGCCGCGGGCCGCTCGGCGGAAGCCCTCTGGCGGAGACTCAGCCGCTCCACCCGCTACACTCATCGGTGATTGAGACCACTGAAGAACAAGATTTAGTGTTCTATTATAACAAATTCGATAGTTTGTATTTGTGTTTATGTTTGTTATTCCTCTACCACTACTATAAGGCTTATAGCCTTACAGGCTATTATAAGATACTATAAGGTAATTCAATTCAATTATTTAGTTTCGTGGCTTCTAAGAATGCTTTTGGGCACAATTTACATCGCCAATGTCGCGTAGAATGGAAAAGGCACGTTATATATGTATAGAACTAGCGACTCACCCTCGCTTCGCTCGGGTTCCTCCCTGGCTCGATTCCCCATACAAACTTTCATTCCCATTTTCACACCCTTAAGGGATAATTTCCCGAATGAAAAATATCCTTTATCCTTCCCAGGATTTCAAACTATCTTCTTACCAAATTTCATCTATGTAAATCGGTCCAGTAGTTTTTGAGTTTTTTCGCTACAAACATACAAAAATACAAATCTTTCCTCTTTATAATATTAGTGTAGAAGTATAGATGTAAACTAGTGTAAATTAAGAATTGAATTATTCGTAAATATTTCCATTTCAGTTTCTATTTCTAGTTAATTGCATATTATGTTTGTAATCCTGATTGGATATAGGCTTTGTATAATTACAATAGTCTTAATCGTCTGTGTAGCAGTAGGTTTAATAGCATTACGGAACACAGAATTCACGTACATTTTGTGGACATAGATTTAGAACCTGGCTTCCTGCGCTCTGAATCGGCAGTAGTACATGCTAGCACTGAACCACGGGGGCAGCACATAAATATGTAGGTATAGATAAATCTCATACAAATTAAAAAAAAAACGATTCCTACGTCTGGATTTTTTTAAAAGATTTTGAAGACAATATACATTTCTAGTATATAAAAAGTAATTATTACAAATATAATATATTACTCCAGTGTGTAAGTAAAAGTGATAATCTAATATATAAATACCTCGTGTCTCCGAAAAGGCTCGACCGATTTTAATGATTTTTTTTGTAATATACAAATAGTAGGTATGAGAATAGGTAATAAAGTTCTTCACCCTCCTACCCCCACCCCCCAATTTTTTTAATCGTGATTTTGTCGATCCCAAACGAAGCGAGGGTGAGTTGCTGTATAACATAAAGCCAAAGACTTTTTTTTTTCGTAAATTGAACGCGGGCTTAACCTCGGGTTCTGCTATTTAATAAATAAAATTAAATAATTATTCAAATTTCATGTACCTAGATATTAAACAAGACTTTCAATATGCTCTAAATAAAACCAAGGTTGTTTAGAAAACTTGCAACGTATAACTTATCTTCGCTACAAAGAACCGACGATGTTATACTCGTAACTTCATAAAAAATAATATTACCTTATTACACGTCGAGCATTTTGATTTATTTTTAATTTTAAGCTTAAAGCTAGATATATATCTTTCGTGGTTTTAGATTCCTTCATGTTAGGGGCCATTAAAACCAGTCTAATCAATTTTAAGGTAACATCGTGCATAAGACCCGAGGTGCGATAACCAGCACAGGAACATCTCCTACGACATATTTTGTAGTATTTTATCTTAATTTTATTTGCCGCGAAGTTTCAATATTCAATTTAGAGTTAATTTTGTTAAATATGTAATCATTCAACGACACGTTTGGCTCAGTTTGTAGTGACCCTACTTTCTATGCCAGTGGTCGCGGGTTCGAGTCCCGCTGGGGGCTTTCATTTGTGTGATGAGCACGAATATTTGTACTCCAGTCATGGGTGTTTATATTTATAATATGTATGTATTTAAACTTATATATATGTAGTGTATCAACTATCTGGTATCCACAACACAAGCCTCATAGCTTTCCATGGAAATAGATACTTTTGGTTTCGGAGCGTTTTGAAAACTATTTATACTAACTTAAAATTAAATTAAGAAAAAAATAAAACTAAGTGTGAGACATGTAGCCGATTTGAGGCTCCTTTAATGTCTAAATACATACTCAGCCGGCAGATGCCGGGTGGGCCGACTAGACGCTGAGTTTCCGTCTCTCTTATTCTATGTAAATCTTAATCTAAAGCGGACGGACGAGGTGTAACCATAACTAGATGGTGATGTGTGTTAATGTCCCAACATATTTATTTATTTATTCAATATCATGTCAAACCAAAATTTCACCAAAATTCATAATTATGTCTAAAGCTTAGAATGAGACATTTGTTGTTAATACAAACACACACTGCTATTTTATATATGCATATGAACAAAATAATGAATAGTAATTTTGTTAAGTTTGAATAGGAAACTTTAATCTCTCATAGAGAAATGTTTTCTTGTTAACGCTCTTAAAGTACACTTGACATAAATGTAGCCGCGGCAAGTTTGCCAACTTTTTACATCTCGACTTTAATCGTTCAAAGTGAGGTTTTTCAGAGGAAAACTATTTACAGTACTAAAAGTTTTTTATTTATGTTTTTATGTATATTACAATGTGTATATAATGTAATTTATTGTATATAACGTATTTTTTAACGTCCCACAGCTAGTCACGGGCCTCTCATTAATACGAGGGGGGTTAGGCCATAGTCCACCACACTGGTCAGTCGAAGTTGGCGGACTTTACATGTCTTTCAAAAACTTTCTACATTTTTTAGACATGGTTTCCTCACGATGTTTTCCTTTACCGTAAGACAAGTGGTAATCATGTTAGAAATGATTCACACATGACAATATCAGAGATGCGACACCCGGAATTTAAACCCGCTTCACTCGGTTTCCCAAACGAGCGCGTTACCACTGGGCTACCACTGTCTTCAATGTAGTTTATTATGTAATATGTAATTTAAACGTAATTAGAATCTTAGAGGCCTCGAACCCTTTTGCTAACGATGAAGAATTATTAATGATTAAAAATGGTAAAAGATTTTCTGATATTTTTCGATAAATTTCCTCTTCATTGTTACGGTTTAGTGTTTGTTAAACGTGTTTTTCCTTTAATGATAAAATAAACAATTTAGTATTTTTTTATGAAGATATTTTTTCTTTAATACTTGTTTATTTGAATACTGACAACATACGAACCTAGTAGATACGATGTGTAGTAATTCGCGTTGCTATGGGTTCGATTCCTACTTAGAGGGAATGTTAGTATAAAGTGTTAAACCATATAAATCTCCTGATACTTTTCTCAGTCTGAGCCGCGTTTAGACAACACCCAACAAGTATCTCAATGCTTATGCGTTCTTTTTTCCTGAATTAGCTTGGCTTGGCTAATATATTTTTTAAATATTGAAATGGATAGTTAACACCTATTTATCATAATATGTAAGCTGTTATCACAATAACTCTTTTAAAACACTTTTTTTTATGATTTTTATGTAGAGGAGAGCTCTTTTAATGAAGCTGATGCGATGAGAATTTATTTATATTATATATATATTATTTATATTATATATATATATATATATATATATTTATTTATATTATATATATTTTATAACGTTTTACAAATATATATTTACTTGACTCCTTACTTGATTTCCCATTCAAATTTTCATCCCCATTTTCAACCCCTTTAGGGATGATTTTTAGGATAAAAAGTATCCTATGTCCTTCCCAGGGTCTCAAACTATCTTCTTACCAAATTTCATTTAAATCGGTTCAGTAGATCCAGAGATTACCCCCTACAACGTCACAAACTCACAAAATTTACCTTTATTTTTATGTATTTATTTAATGAATTCATATTATAATATATATGTATATTAAAAATACTATTATAAAGCTATAAAATTCTCACAAGCGAAAACCTAACACAGAGCTTATATTTTATTTATATTATGTAGCAGCTTAAAACCTATTCTGTACTGTTCAATCCACGATTCTTTTGATTTCTTCTCCCACTACGCATATATGCCGCGATAGTATTTGTATTATGCAGTGGATGTCGAGTTACCAGGCGAGCAGAGCGGCGTGGGAGCCTTCAATAATTCAGTCAGTACCGGCTTCGGAGTTCTGAGGGGGAGGGGGACCGACTGGTATCTCGCAACAAAATATTATTTTTTCATACGATCCGTTGTTTTTCTTTACCCTCTCTTCCTTTGTTTGGTATGAATAATGTATAGTGTGTTCAAAGTATCAGTAAAACATCCACAGTAATTGCGGCATAAAGTGGCAAGTTCAAAATTATCTGCGATATATCTGGTCTGATAAATATAGATTGAAGACGCTTGTTTATATATTTTTTTTTATTATAAAGGTTAGCTAACAGTTGTTATATTTTTTTATATATTCGATATTAATTTTACATAGTAATCAACTGTTAAATGTACAACTATATGAAAGCAAACACGTCATGCAAATATGTTTACATTTGAATATAACCGTTTGATTTATTTTAACATGACTACTGATAAGAGAAATTTACGTAACACATGACATACATAAAAAACATTAAATATTTTTTGGAAAATCTTATTGAAATAGACATTATTATCGATACAGAGGCCGAATCTATAGCTTTTAGATTTTTTGTCTGACTGTCTGTTACCGCATCACAGAAAAACCACTGGAGGGATTTTGATGAAATTTGGTATGGTGATAGCTAGTTATCTGGGTCAACATATAGGATACTTTTTACCGCGGGAAAATATGGCATTTCTGAGAAAAATACACATACTACAATGTAAGAGTATACTAATATGTATGTAAAACCTAAGAATTTGGTTTTTGGTCATCTGAACGCGGGCGGAGCCGCGGGCAATGCTAGTGTACTACAAACGAAAATGAAATATTATATAAATAAATGAAAATAAATGAATGTAACCGAAAACAAAAAAGTATAAACGAAAATGAAATATTCACTTATAGAACTCAAATATACGAGCAAAGTCAATATTGTACCAATTCCAGGTAAAGCAATGAAGACACATTGCTCAAACAACACTTACATCAGCTACATAGTGCTTATATTATCTATTTAGGCACTATCAATAAACATGTCCTCGGTTTATATAAAAGTGCGTAAAACTGTATATAAAGATA